AAAACCCTTGAAATTTCTTGAGCAGAGGAAGGAGTTGTGGTACTCACAATGGACTTGTCAGATCCCACCTGAGTTTATACTGCTGAGATGAATCAGGCCCGTGGACAGTCAGGAGAAGGCTAGCCTCCTGTTTAGGTGATGAGAGGGAAAGGGCTGCACCTCCAGACCTATATACTGGTCTCTTCAAGATGGGATCTGGAGATCAAACCCCATAAAAACTTTTGAACTGGGCTGAGGACATTGCTTAGTGGTAGAGTACCTGCCTAGCAAGCACGAGGCACTGAATTCAAATCCCAGAACTGAAAAAAAAGAAAAAAGAAAAACCCATCTTGAATAACGAGGTGAAGGAGACTTGATGACTCTTCCTACACTGCCCAGAGGGCAGAGCCCTGCATGTCTCTGGCTGTTCATCAGTTTCTTTGGTAACAAGGTAAGGAAGCCTAGTGTTTCCCTGGATCTGTGAGCAAATGGTGTGGATGTGAGGAAGATGTCATTGGGACCCTGATTTATATTTCAGTCAGAAGCACAGGTCCTGGCCTGGGGCTGCCACTGGCTTTGAAATGGGGATGGCCCCCATGTAGATAGTCAGACTGAACTGGGCCATGTATACTTAGCTGGCATCCCCTGCTGAGTTGACATAGAGACAGCCCCAGATCTGGAGCCAGAAGCATTGGGTTGTGTGTGAATGGAGACAGATCCTCTTCTAGGTATAAACTGCAGCTCACAGTACAGTTTAGAAAAGAGCACAGAGCCTTTCCACCTTTGACCGTGTGCCACTTTCCCAAGATGAGACAGCTGTGTTTCATGCTTAAGAACTGGGTGAATTTTTGTTCCTAAACAATATGTAGTGCTTGGACATATTTAACGTTTCTTTACAGACCCATATTGTACCTTTCCAACTTTCTAATGCCTATGTGTTTGAGGCCCACCCTAGGGGCATGTGTGGCTTCTGTTTGGTGAAGGTGCTGTTGACATTTAGGTTGTGTCCTATCTTGTTTGCTACTAACAAAAGGTGCTACATTACATAACCATCTTAAGGCACACACGTTCCCTGGGGCAGCTTGGCTCTCTTATTAAGTCACCTCAGTGAAGTGCTTTGTTAATTTAATTTCGTTGTTCCCTGTTACCTGCAATGGCAGAGAGTCTCGCATGTGGAGTGCAGGGATTCCAGGTGTGTGCCATCAGGCCTGGCTTACAATGCCTCTTGAAAAGTCACATTCAGGCAGTTCCCATCTGCAGAGTGTTGGCATTTTTACTGGCACATATTTCCAATAAGGGACAGTCAGTGCAGTGAGCTGACTGGGGTGGTGCCACACGGGCTGGTCTGGGCACCCTTGAATTATCAAGGGAGCTGAGACAGTGTGAAACTTGGACATCCTTTGAGGCTCTCGGGCTCCCCTGGTCAGGAGGACTGGGTCCCTTCTTTCTGTGTCTGGTTGCAGCTCATTCATTTGAACATGCCGTGGAATTGTGAGCGTCTGCTGGTTTTTGCAGTGGGAGAGGTTTATGTGGGAAGGTCAGGCTCCACTCTTTCTTTGGCCGATGGGGACATGGATGCTGGGGGTGCAGATGTTCCTTGGGGAGAGAAAGAACAGGGAAAACTGACTGGACAGTTGGTCTCAGACCTAGTGCAGCAGAGGCATGGGTGCACAGGTTGGCACAGTATCTCCTGATGTTAAGTGTGTGCACATTCCATGACCAGCATGTCCACTTCAGGGTACAGCCCAATAGAACTGTACAGAAGGGACACCAAGATGTTCCTAGTAGCATGGAACACGTGTTTCTTAGAGGGTACATACCCTGATCTGTTTATCGACAAAATATCACACAGTATTGAGGTGAAGGAATGATTGCTGGTGAGCATGGATGAGTCTTGTTTCAAATCAGCATCTTTGTGAAGTTTTTGGTACAAGGAGAACACGAGTGTCAGTGTGGGATACAGACTTCTTGCATTTCTTACCACCAGTCATGAGCAATGACTTGTTGCCTCCCTTGGCCAGTGGGTTACTGACACAGCTACTTAGTAGGCACACAGCCTCACCAGAGATGAAGGCTGTTGATTTTGAGGAGAGCAAGGATTTGTTGCTGGTGGTAGTTTTGCCTGAAAAGTTGTGCATTTTTCATATGCAGATTAAAAACACTGTCCTGGCAGTAGGAGATGGGCAAGGGCGAGCGGAGGAATGTACACATCTTTAGTTCAAACCTTACTTGTAGTGTCAAATAGGAAACTTGCTCTTGTTACCACCCATACCCAGGACACAGAGCTCTGTCCACCACTGTGCTTGTGGACGCGATTGTGTCTGCTGAACTGCTGCCCCTGCAGATGGGTACAGCGGAGAGACAGAAGCAGAATGGTGGCTGGAGGACGTGTGTAATGCTTGCTGGGAGGCATCTGCAGCAGGGAGGGACAGTGCTGCTAGAGACGCGGTATCAGGATTTGGGTCTGATGGAAAAGCTGGAGGTCCCTGAGGGATGGGAAAGCCCTCCTGACCGTGGAGTGGACGGGGAGGGCAGCAGGCCCAGGTGAAGTGGGGTGTGGGCCAGGCTGGAAGAGGATTGGCTACAGAACTGAAGTCTGTGTGCTGTACTCTCACAGGTTAATTGAGTTCATGCAATAGGGAGCCCAGGAGGGGTAGTCTGGGGCCCCGGAGTCCCCACGAGGGGCTGTCTCTGCTTCACTACCTTTGTTACAGCCTTTGTTCCTGCATTTTCACCTCCAGATAGCCAGGCCCCTGTCCTGGGCAGGAAGGAAGGGATGAGGAATGAGCTCCCCTATGTCCCAGCCCAAGGCTTGGCTGGTCCCAGATATTGGGGATCTGGTACCCAAGAGGTTCAGTTACTGTCAGGTTGTCACCTGAGCCAGTTGTAAGAGGAAAAAGGCATTTGAATAGAGGTCTGGCACTGGGTACCCAGGTGGCTGGAAGACCCCAGGGAGGGGTGAGGCTTATCATCTGCATGGTCTGGGCACACTTGGAAGGCTGGCACCGTGTACTGAGGAGTCAGGTCCACATGGAAGCTGGGAGAGACAGTCATGCTTCCTAGGCTTGAGTGGTTCTGAGGTAGTGCAAGATAGGTGGGTAGGTAGCAGAGTGGAGGGGCTGGGGAGTGGGAGAGCAGTGACTCTGGTTTCCGGCGTTGTCCCAGCTGTGGGGAGAGCTATGAGCCCAGTCTCCATGGCTGAGTTTGGGGACTCTAACATACTTCAGGTAGATGAGCAGGGGCTTGGGAGATGCTTGGTAGGGAAGGTAATGATTTGCATCCCTCTGCACATACAGACATATACAAAACAAGGTTTCATACTCTCCAGGTGCCAGAGAGGAGTCAGGCTAGAGGCACAAGCTGGAGCCAGTACCTGGGACATGTTAGAAAGAGGGACATGGCCAGAGGGGTGTGCTTTAAATGCAAAGCCAAGCCGGGCACTGGTGCTCACACCTGTAATCTCAGCTATTCAGGAGGCAGAGATCAGGAGGATTGCAGTTCAAAGCCAACCTGGAAAAATAGTTCTTGAGACCCTGTTTCAAAAATACCAACACCAAAAAAGGCTTGGTGGAGTGGCTCACGTGGTAGAGGGCTTGCCTGGCAAGCGTAAGGCCCTGAATTCAAACCCCAGTACCACTTAAAAAACTCAGTGTTTTAGACAATAGCCAATCAACCCTCCTGCTAAGAACAACTGGAAACATTGGATAAAGTAGGAAATGTGTCTGTGAAGGAACAGCAGAGCCAGCAAGATACAAGTTAAGGGCCCAGGACTACAAGGAGTGGTACGTTCAAGATACAAGTTAAGGGCCCGGGACTACAAGGAGTGGTACATTCCTTCTCTCTTGGGGCATTTGCTGGTTCCAGAAGTGGCTGAAAAGGTACAAAGCCTGCAAAGTACTTCAGGGACCAGATGGAAGAGGTGGACTGGAGCCTGGGCTGAGCCAAGCCCACTGTGGAAGGAAGGACCAGTCTGGGCAGAGGGATAGTGCCATTCAACCTTGGAACCCTTAATGCTTAGTGGGGTCTCTGGTGCCATCTGTTCATAGAGCTCTGGATTCTGCCTTGCTGGGAAGGGGGGTGAGCCCAGAGGAGAACACATCTGCAGAGGCCAGGTTGGGTCAACAGTGCTCATGCTGGGCGGAAAAAACAGCAGGGTGGATGGCTTACATTTTGGAAGGAGTTTTGGCAGGATTTGCTGGAGGGCTAGATGTGTGGGGAAGGAAGCAGAGGGGGTTAATGTTTTTGGTTTAACCAATTTAGGGCAGAATTTTGGAGTTGTCAATGTTTCTAGCAGTGGACTAAGATGTAAAATTAAAAATAATGTCCAAATTCCATATTTGCCTTTTTAGTTATTTTTAAGGCTTTTCTTTCCTTTGGTTTTTTTTTTTTTTTTTGGTGGGACTGGGGTTTGAACTCAGAGCCTCGGCTTTGTTAGTCAGGCACTGTAGTACTTGGACCACGCTCTCAGCCCCATATTTGTATTTTTATTTATTTTTGACAGTTCTGGAGTTTGAACTCAGAGCTTTGAGCATGCTAAGCAAAGCACTTTAGCCATACTTCCACCCCACGTATTTGCATTTTTAAAATAATCTCACCTTGGTGCTTAAGACTCTTAAATTAAATCATTTCTTTTTTGGTGGTTTTGGGGTTTGAACTCGGGGCCTCATGCTTGCTAAGCACACTTGAGCCAGGTCCTTAAAATTGTTAAGAACATGAAAAGTTCAGAAAGAAAGGGGCAAAAAAAGTATTAAAAGTTCATAGCCAAGCACTGGTGGCTCATACCTGTAATCCCAGCTACGCAGGAGGCAGAGGTAGCAGTTTGAAGTCAGCCCGGGAAAATATTTCATGAGACCCTATCTCAAGAAAACCCATCACAAAAACGTGCTGATGAAGTATCAAAATAAGTAACATGACTGGGAATGTGGCTGAAATGGTAGAGCTTCTGCCCTGAGTTCAAACCCTAGTACCACCAAAAAGGAAAAAAACAAGGCAAAATAAATAACAGGTTTCCTTTTTTTTAGGGTTTTAGCCTCTGCATCCATGCTCTGCTGGGGCAGGTGCTTTTGGGGATCGTGTTCATGTTGGCTGGAGCTGCTGCCTCCTTCTCCACCTGTGTCCCCGCATCTGTGAAGTGGCTGTGACTCGCGCTGAGCCGTCCTGGCCCCAGCATGTCGTCTTCTGCAAAGCCCCAAGCACTGGAGGAAACCATGCCTGGATGCGAGGAGGAGCCAAAGGGAAGGGGACTTCTCACCTGGGGCTCCCTTTTTGGTCACCAAAGCGAGAAGATCATCTTTACCAAGGGTGAGGGCAACCCGGAGGAGAGCCTGCTCACTGTCACCATCACGGAGACCACCGTCATCGAGTCGGATTTGGGCGTGTGGAGCTCACGGGCGCTTATCTACCTTTCACTGTGGTTCTTCTTCAGCTTCTGCACACTGTTCCTCAACAAGTACATCCTGTCCCTGCTGGAGGGTGAGCCCAGTATGCTAGGTAAGTAGCAGAGTGGTCAGCACCTGCTCCGTACACCTACCCCCAGGGCTAAGGGCACCAACGTGAGCTAGGTTCGGAAGACCTGCAAGTGGAAGGGAGGAAAGGCTGGTCGCTTGTGTGGGGCAAATGAAGTAACCCTCTTTCCAGCCGGTCTCTCATCTCCTTCCTTAGGTGCCGTGCAAATGCTGTCTACTACATTAATCGGATGTGTTAAGATATTTGTCCCTTGCTGTTTATATCAGCACAAAACCCGGCACTCTTATCCACCCAACTTCATCATGACCATGCTCTTTGTGGGTCTAATGAGGTAAACAATCCCACACTTCTGGTTGAATGTCTAAATACTTATTTTCAGATGTAAAGTACCTTCCCCACTACTGTGTATGAGACTCTGCCTATAGCTGTTGTATTGCGCTCCTGGGCAGGTGTTCAAGTCATACTGTATGCAACCACAGGGCCTTCCAGGTGGAGGCACCATGTAGGTTTGGTTTTGTGGATCCTCAGTGCCACATGAATTTGCTCCTGCTCTCTGGAGCAACCACGAAAGCAAATTTAATAGCAGGTGGAGAATGAGAAGCCTCCTCCCTGAGGTGAGACCTGGCATCCTTAGGGGCAAAGGAGTCACCCTTACACGGGGTTCAGCCATCCTGGAGCTCTCCTGGAGCCTCAGGGTCAGGCCTCTGAACAGTGAGGAGCGTCAGATGGCATGCCTGATGGTCAGGGCTGACTGCTTGGAGCCTCTGTCTTGCATACAGATAGGTTTGTTTTTGTGATACTTTTTGCTTGTTTTGAGGTTTGCGACAGTGGTCTTGGGGCTGGTCAGCCTGAAGAACGTAGCGGTGTCTTTTGCTGAGACAGTGAAGAGTTCTGCACCCATCTTCACTGTGATCATGTCTCGGATGATCCTAGGGGAATACACAGGTGAGGGTCCTCCTGCGCCCCACCTCCCCATCCTTCCCTTCTGCCTGCAGTGTTCCCAGCTGCCCACCATGTGCTTGGGGCTTGGGTTGGCTCCATTCAGGACTGTTCAGCTGTGAAGCCACGTAACACTGGGGTCACCTTCCTTTGCTTCCTGAAATGTTTTCTTGGAGGTCACAAGTGGCCTCGTGTGGTCACTTGAGCAAGTGTTCTTACAGCCTGCTGTGTACCAGGGTTGTACTCATGGTGTCATGAGGAGGTCAGAGGAGGTCTGTGTCCTGTGATCCCCGCTGGGGAAAACAGGTAGGAACTGGAAAATGATAATAGGGTATCTCCAGGTGCTATCCCCTGACCCAAGAGCCATGTTCAAGGGACTCCTTCAGTGGTCAGATGACCTCCCCAGGGCTCCATGTCAGGTGGCCGTGGCTTCTCATCCATCATGCCCATCTGCAGCCACCTGCCCTCCTGCATCTTGCCCCACATCTGTGACCTACCACCTCTGTCTATCTGCCTGTTACTCATGAGTGAACATGGCTGCTTTACCACTCTCCCCAAGGCTCAATTATTTTAAAATTCCCTGCTGATTATTTCCAACTGCTTGTCATACCCACACCTGTTTTCCTCTGAATCTCTTAAAAATCAGCATATTCAAGATTGTTACATGAAATCAAGCAAAGTACAGAATTATGCATATGCTATATGATCTTTAAGTAAGAGGGTTACTAGTAAGTATACATATTCGCTTTATTTTAAAAACAAAATCAGGTGAGGGTTAGCTCAGTAGTAGAGCACTTGCCTAGCACGTGTGAGGGTCTGAGTTCCACCAAAAAAAAAGGCAGTATCTTGAAAGAAAGGCAAGTGTCTACCTAAAGGATAGGAGGGAGAAGAGCCAAAGGGCCAAGGATGTCAGCAGGAAGGTTTTCCCACATGTCTTTTGAATGGCACAAATGTTTTAGGTGATTATAAAAAGGAGAAATTTCTAAGAATCATAAGCAAGATGAAACAAATGAGCCTTATCAAGTTAGTAGCACAACCGCACAAAACAGAAGTACCTCATATTTTTTATTTATTTTGGTTGGGACTGGGATTTGAACTCAGGGCTTTGAGCTTACAAAGCAGGTGTCCTGCTGCTTGAGTCACACCTCCAGTCCATTTTGCTCTGATTTTTGTTTTTTGGAGGTGGGGTCTTGAGAACTATTTGCCTGAGCTGGCTTCAAACCATGATCTCAGTCTCTTAAGGAGCTGGAATTATAAGCCTGCGCTACTGGCACCCAGCTCAAGACACTCTAAAACCTGCTTTGGCTGCCAACCATGGTAGACAAGCTTGAAGCAGCCACTCTTTTGAGGAGCCATTTTCCATGCACAGCTCCAGGTTTCCTTTCTTGAGCTTGGCTCTTTTCATCTGTGAGATCTTTGGGTTTGCTGTGTCGACTCAACTCAGGGACCCATCAGTTCCTTGATGGCTCCCTGAGGAATTCAAGATCATGTGTTGACATCACCAGCCTGTGTCAAGGGAAAGGAGCCACTTCTTATGAAGCCAAGCTGAACTTGTCTGAGGACTGTTGTTTTGTTCCTTGTGCTACACATGAAAGACTCATATCTTCATTTGCTTCAAATTTGAAAGTAAATCCCTTATCTAAAATCAAAAAGGTATAAGAGAGCCTGCCACCCTTTTTCCAAAATGAATGTGTGGGTGGGAAATAGGATTTTCATTGCTTTGAATTAACTTTTTAAACCAGTCCTGTAAAGGTTTATTATTATCTAGAAGGAAACAAAAATGGATGAACTCAATGTGAGTGCATCCTAGCCCTCCCACTCAGGAGTTTCCCCTGAGTTTCCTCTTTCCTAGTTTCCTGGGGACCATCTCATTTACCCTCTGCATTTTGCTAAAGAGTGTCCATAGAATTGCATGCCATGAGGACTTGTCCCCGTAATGCTAGGACCTGGCACACAGCCACACAAGGTGCCTGGCTTTAGGGAGGGGGACAGGGCTTGTTTACAGACATGGGTTTCACTTGCTTTGTTTTCTCTGCAATGGAGAAGCTCATGGTAGCCAGGTATAGTGGTCCAGGCAGAAGTAGAGGATCATGGCCCAAGGCCAGTGGCAGGGTGGGGGCGGGGCTTGCCCAGGACCAGTCTGAGAAGGCAAAGGACTCGGGGCATGGCTCAGGCAGTTCAGTGCCACCAAAAAACAGACACAAAAAGCAAACTGCTGGACATTAGTGTTTGGATTAATGTGGAAACTTCTACCTTTCAGAATGGGTAGGAATAGCCTTGTCCCTGGCAAGGGGCCTGCACCAGTTACCTTGTGTGCTGCTCTTGCCAGGGCTGCTGGTCAACCTGTCCCTCATCCCAGTCATGGGAGGGCTGGCACTGTGCACTGCCACTGAGATAAGCTTCAACATCCTGGGGTTTTCAGCCGCATTATCCACCAACATCATGGACTGGTGAGTCACATGTGGGGATGTGGTAGGGGTGCTTGAGAAGTGGTGCTGGCTCTCATTGGTCTGTGGGTGTTCAAATCCAACTTACTCAGAGATGCTCGTGTGACTCAGAGCCAGGATCCTCTGATGCTGCCTTTTCCTAAATAGCAAAGCAATAAGTTGTCGTTAGGTGCCTTCTCTAAAAGAAGCCAGACTTGAAGATGCACAGTCCTGGTACTTAGAGTTCAAGTTTGTAGGGTATGGTTGGCTATTGAGTAAATGCCTGTGCAAGGCCATCTCACAGCTCAAATGGAGGACAGTTCCCAGGGTGGCAGTAGTCAGCCCCTTGAGAACCCGGAGTTCAGGTCATTCTGCCAAGTGACGCCTGTGTCCTAGAATCAGGACTGCACAGGAGGATGAAAGGCCAACTCATGGTGAGGAGAGCCATGTGGTGAGGTCCTGAGGAAGGTGCTGTGTTGTTAGCATTCTGGTCAGACAGTGGTAGAGGGCAGCATCACATTCTAATGGCTGTTTACTTTTTTTCTTTTTTTATCTTTGAGAGAGAGGTCTTGCTATGTAGCCCAGGCTGGTCTCAAACTCGCAATCCTCTTGCCTCAGCCTGCCAAGTGCTGGGATTGCATATGTGCCCACCACATTGATCATCACCATTTCAATTGGCCAGACACGTTGTCTCTGTCTGTGCTGTCACTGAAGCCCTCACCTAACCTGAGGGAAGTAAGGAAATAATAACAACAGCCCTGGGAGTTTGTTATTACTAATTACTTCTAAAGAAAAACAGCTGGTGTGGAGCGCCTGCCTAGCAAGCTCAAAGCCCACGTTCAAACCCAGGTACTGCCATAAACAAAACAAAACAAAGCTGGACGCTGGTGGCTCACACCTGTAATCCCAGCTACTCAGGAGGCAGAGATGAGGAGGAAGCCAGCCTAGGCAAATAGTTCGAAAGACTCTATCTCGAAAATACCTAACAAAAAAAAAGGGCTGGTGGAGTGGCCCAAGGTGTATGCCCTGAGTTCAAGCCCCAGTGCTGCAAAAAACAAACAAAACAAAAAAACCCAGCTCCTCTTGAGGTTTTGAATAATGCAGCAGAATAAAAAGGAGAGTTATCTTTATTATCTTTTTTTGGTTTTTTTGGCGGTTGTGGGGTTTGAACTGAGGGCCTAATACCTTGAGCCACTCCACCAGCCCTTTTTCTAATGATTTTTTTTTTTTCAATCTAGGATCTCAAGAACTATTTGCTCAGGCTGGCTTCGAACTGCAATCCTTCTGATCTCTGCCTGCTGAGTAGCTAGGATTACAGGCATGAGCCACCAGTGCCCAGCCGAGATGTCTTTCTTTAACTTATCCTTTCCCATCACAGTGTGTTTATCCCTGTCTTCCCCACTGCATTGTGGTTCTTAGGCTGAATGGGTCTCACCTCGCCATCTGTTTGCATCTTACTGTCGACGTGCTATTAGAGGAGCTTCTTGTCACAAGGTCTTCTCCACAGACCTGATCTTCATGACTACCTCTCGGTCCTGTGCACACACCATGACTTCCTGCTCATAAATAGATCTGTAGGGAACATCTCTTTATGTACAACTTTACCTGAATTCTGACTATCCTGTAGGGTAAGTTCCTAAAAGACAGACTGATAGATGAGCTGTGAGCTTCAGCAGAAGGCTCTTCATCCATGTTGTTTCTGAGAGTCATCCTGGTTTACTGTCCTGCCAGTGAGAGTTAGTGTCACCTTGTCCTACACTAAGTTTTTGCACTTCATAAAATATAAGAAAACCGGACTGGCAGAGTGGCTCAAGTGGTAGAGTGCCTGCCTAGCAAGTGAGAGGCCCTGAGTTCAAACCCCAGTACAGCCACCCCCCCAAAAAAAATATATAGATAAATATATGAAAGCTCCCCTCTGTTCAGAACCCAGTAGCAGCATCCCACTGTTCCAAGTCCTGGTCACTGGGTCACTTGTGAACTTGAAGAAGGTTGTTTTCTTGTTGCTGTTTGTGTTTTTCCCATGGCTTGTCTGTTTATGAGTTCTGGCTGTGGTTCTCTGTTGGAGTCTTCCAACATGTAAGCACATCCCTAAGAGACCCCAGGGCCCCAGCCTTGGCAGTTGTTGACTTATGGGTCAACTCAAAATTGGGTTTTGCAAAGTGTGTAGAGCAGATCCTTTGGGATCCTTTGTCACCTGAAATGGTAACCTCAGGCAAGCCATTCAAACTCTTGAGTGTGCCATGTGCCCATCTGTAAGAGGGGGGACTGGGGGACAGGCACACAGTGGGGTGGTATTGGAAAAGCCCAGCACAAGACTAGCAGCTGTTCAGTGACTGCTCACTGTCATCGTGGTCAGTTGCCATCAACAGTGAGAAGCGACACCTTGTCCTCTCACCGTCCACACTGACTGGTTTCAAAGCATAACCTCTTCTCTTTGTTCTAGTTTGCAGAATGTCTTTTCAAAAAAGCTTCTCAGCGGGGACAAGTACAGGTTCTCGTAAGTACATTCATGAGTAGCGTCTGCAATTTCATAAGACCCAGGAGGACTTTTGGCCGTTTAAGTTTCTGAACTCCCCCCACTCCCCAGGAGACCGGCCTCTTGAAAGTTTCTTCTGAAAATTGGCATAAATCCCCACGAGACTGCCAAACAACCAGATCAGTTCATGGCTGCCTTTCACTTCTGGGCCACCATGGACGTCCTTGTCATTCTGGGAGAGTCTTCTGTCCCTGCAGGGCCCCAGGCATGAGGGAAATCCAGCATCTCTGTCCTCGCAGGGCTCCGGAGCTGCAGTTCTACACGAGTGCCGCAGCTATGGCTATGCTGATTCCTGCCTGGATCTTCTTCATGGTGGGTTCCAAAGCAGTCACATCGCTGCCACATCGCTGCATCCGGATGCCACTCTCTTCCGCGAAGCTGGAGCAGAGTGACTTCACTTTGCAAGCGATGGCTGGTTGATGTGCTCCCTTTGGAGGTGGGAGCAGAAACACAGCTGAGCGGCTCGGAGTTTTGGTAGTGTGCTGAAATTTTCATGTGAGAGGTTTCAGGTTTGCTGTATTTATTTTTTTATTAGAAAAACAATGTGCCTGCTGTAAAATAGTCAACAGTTTTACATGTGAAACCAAAGCCTGTTGTCACCCACTTGCTCAGTCCATGCCTAGAGCTGCCCCATTCTAGTGAGTCTGGGGCGCGAGCACACTCATCTAACGTATGTGCAGTGTGATTCTGTTAGTTTAGAAAGTTCATGTGTATATACAAACCATTTTTTTCCTCAGCATATGTGGAACTAGGCCGGCCAGCTGTGTGATCATGTTCTAAGACGTGGCTATGCCTGACCCTGTCCTTCCCCATGCTTCTCACTTTTCTGTAAACACGAACAGGGGACTGGAGGTGTGACTCAAGCCATAGAGTGCCTGTTTTGCAACACAAACCCCAGTCCCAAGCTGCGCTCCAGTGGCTCATGCCTGTAATCCTAGCTACTCAGGAGGCAGAGATCAGGAGGATCATGGTTTGAAGCCAGCCCAGGCAAATAGTTCATCAGACTCTATCTTGAAAAAACCCAACACAAAAAATGGCTGATGGAGTGGCTCAAGTGGTAGAGCGCCTGCCTAGCAAGCGTTGAGGTCCTGGGTTCAAACCTCAGTATTAGGGCTGGGGATGTAGCTTAGTGGTTGAGTGTTTGCCTAGCAGGTACAAAGCTCTGGGTTTGATCCCTAGTACCTCAAACAAACAACAACAACAACAAAAAATCAAACCCCAGTACTACCAAAATATAAATAAAAAAATAAAGACAGAACAGGGAACTTCTCCCATCCACATCCAACACAGACAGGATACATTCTTGGGATTGGACTGGTTGATTGAAAGAATAGGAATATTTTAGTTTTTTTCTTGTGGTCCACTGTTGACAACACTACTACGTGAGCCACTCTACCATCCTGTAACTAGTCCTAAATGTGCACTTTGGTGGCATTAGCAAATTCATCTTGTGCAACCATCACCACCATCTGCCTCTGGAACTTTTTCTTCATCGTAAACTGAAACTCTGTTACCCCAAACATTGACTGTCTATTTCTTTCCCTTGGTCGATTGCACCTCCCTGATCCATTTTATTGCCTGTCTATGAATCTGACTCCTAGGGACCTCACAAGAGTGGAATTATATAGCACTTGTCTTTTTGTGTCTGGCTAGCACAGCTTTTTCCCCTGCACTGCTGGGGACTGGACCTGTATATATAGATGCTGGGCAGGCACTCTGCTGCTGAGCTGCACAGCTAGCCCAGCACAAGTGTCTGAGGTTCATCCACGCTGCAGCCTGTGTGAGCCTCCTGTTTCAGTCTGAATGACATTCTGTTGTGTGGACGGACCACACTTCGTTTATCCATTTACCCAGCAGGAGAGCTTGGTTACTGCAAGCAGTGGTACAGGAATACAGGTGCACACATATCCCTTCAAGACCTTGCTTTCAGTTTCTGGGTGTACACCCAGAATTGAAATTGCTGGGTCCTATAATGACTCCACATTGATTCTTTGAGGAACTGCTGCACTAGTTGCCAGTGGCCCCAACATTTTACATTGCCAACAGAAACGCACAGGGGTTCCAATTTCTTCAGATCCTTGCCAACACTTGTTTTCTGCTCATTGTTTGTTTTGTTTGGTTGTTTGCTTTTGGTTTTTTGAGATAGAATCTTGCAATGCAGCCCATGCTGGCCTTGAACACATGATCCTCTGCCTAAGTCTCCAGAGTGCTGGGATCACAGGCATGCCCATCATGCTGGGTTTGCATTTCATAGTAGCCATCCTAAAGGGGGGGTAGGTGGTGCTCCCTAATGATTGGGCGTGTTGAGCCTTTCATGTGATCCTGGCTGTGTGCCCGAATGTTGATTGTCTTAATAAATGCAGTTAAGGGCTGGGGATGGAGCACAAGTGGTAGAGCATCTGATATCAAGCACAAGGCCCTGCGTCAAACCCTAGGGTCAGGAAACAGTTAAACAAATGTGCTCAGCTGCCACCTTGCAAGGCCACTTTGAGAGCTCTCCTCAGTGTCAACTGCTTTACCCAATTACTGGTCACCCAAGACATCACGTCTTTTCTGCAGAGATGTAGTAGGGAAACCCAGACCAGCAGAGTGTGCTTTTCTTCTGGCCATAGGACATGCCTGTGATTGGAAGGAGCGGAAAGAGTTTCAACTACAACCAGGACATCATGCTGCTGCTCCTGACGGATGGTGCCCTGTTCCACCTTCAGAGTGTTACTGCTTACGCCCTCATGGGGAAGATCTCACCCGTGACTTTCAGGTGAGCAGAGGGACTGCCTGAGACACTGTCTCAGTTTAGGCATTTTTGTAAAAGAGATTTGGGGTTCTCGTCCATGATGAGGACTGTTTGTCCACCACAATTTCTAAGCCATTTTCTGCCAGCGCTTTGTGAAACAGTAACGTATGTGAAATAGATTTCAGGCAAGTTTCTATGAGGAGTCTTTATGTTGAAGAAGTTCTTTGGGATCCTCTGAGTATCTCTGTGTCTAGAACAGAGCTGTCCTTTGGATCTCTGTGACTATGGGAAGTTCTATCTAGGCTGTCCCACGTGGGAGCCTACATGTGGCTGTAGAATACTTGTAGGGCATGTAACAACAAACAGAGCTCTACTTTTATCTGACTGTAATCAGCTGTGAGTAGACACATGTGGCTCACCTCAGGAACTTAAGGGAAACTGAAGAGCTCATCAGCTTCTGTTCACTTCTATACTGGACAGATTTCATGAATGTGCAACTTACAGCTGGGAACATTTCCAGCAGCACATAGAGAGGGATGAGCTGGTCCCTAGCTGATGGTGTGCTGCTGGGTAAGTCAATGGGCCTGATTCTTGAACTGTTCTGAGGAGGGCAGGGCTGTCCTGGAATGTGAAGACAGACACGTGACTGAGCTGTGCTACTGCCTAGCCACAGCAGCCTCGGGTGCCAAGCAGACACACAGTGGCCTCTGTGCACATCTCTCTCCCTCGGCTCTCTGTTTTTCCTTGGGTCCACATCAGTGTGGTAAACACTCCAGAACCACCTGAGTCCAGAGCTGTGTGGTGCACTAGGTAATGTTCTGCAGGGAACATGAGGGAGGAAAAAGGAAAAATTCCCATCCCACCAGCAGCTTTAAATGTTTCCCCACATAGGTTTTAATACTAGAGATCATTCAGAAAGAAAGAGCGGAAAACCCATTTTTAAAAAGAGGTTTTGTTTTATTCATATTGTAAAAGCAATAAATAAGTTCAGACATCCCTCAGTGTTCATTGAAATTGGTTCCAGAGCCCTCCACATATACCAGAACACACAGATCTTTTTTCCTTTGGTTGGCCTGGGGTTTGAAGTCAGAGCTTCACACTTGCAAAGCAAGCACTCTACTGCTTGAGCCACACCTCCAGTCCATTTTGCTCTGGTTATTTTGGAGATGGGAATCTCACAAACTGTTCACCCAGGCTGACTTTGAACCACAGTCTTCCCAATCTCAACCTCCCAAGTATCTAGGATTATAGATGTGAGCCACTCATGCCTGGTTCAAAATCCACAGATCTTAAGCCCCTTATATAAATTGTATAGAATTTGCATATAACGTATGCACATCCTCTGATGTACTTTAAATCATCTCTAGATTACTTCTAGTACTAACAAAATGCTAACATAGTAAAAATGCTATGTACATAGCAGTTAGGGATTAGTGACAAGAAAAAAGTCTGAGCTGGGTGTGGTGGTACACATCTGTAATCCCAGCCCTCAGGTGGCTGAAGCAAAAGGATCACAAGTTTGGGGCCAGCCTTGACCACATAGTGAGACCCTATTTCAAAAAATGAACAAAAGAGCTGGGCGCCAGTGGCTCATGCCTATAATCCTAGCTACTCAGGAGGCAGAGATCAGGAAGATCGAGGTTCAAAGCCAGCCAGAGCAAATAGTTCAAGAGACCCTATCTCAAAAAAACCCAACTCATAAAAGGGCTGGTGGAGTGTCTCAAGGTACAAACCCTCCAGTACCACAGAAAAATAAAGGAAGGGGCCAGGCGTGGTGACTCACGCTTATGATCCCAGCTACTCAGAAGGTTAGGAGTATTACAGTTTGAGACCAGCCCAGGGCAAAGCATAAGACCATCTGGAAAACAAACTAAAAGCGAAAAGACTGGGGGCATGGCTCAAGGCTCAAGTTCAATTCCAATATTTGTAAAAAGAGGGACTGTCAGAGTGGCTCAAGTGGTAGAGCGCCTGCCTAGCAAGCTCAAAGCCCTGAGTTCAAACTCCAGTACCACTAAAAAAAAAAACAAAAACCAAAAAACAGAGAGAGAGAAAGGGAAGAAGGCAGGTGAAGGAAGCTCTGTACATGCTCAACTTTTTCTTCATGCAGCCATGTTAGATTCACAGATGCAGAACCCATGGATGTGGAGGGCTGACTGCAGTCATTCTAGAAAGTAAGGAAAAGCTCGAAAAGTACAAAGATTAAAGTTCAAATTGTCCATGATGTGAACCCAGCAGACCAAGAGACTATCACTCTTGGATCTCATTCCAGTCTTACTCCTGGTGTGTAGTGCTATATTAATACACTGAAAAAAACATCTCTTAGGATTGTTTTCTTAGGTCTACAGAGGTCTCCTGGGTAAACAGGTGTTTTGTTATTCTTTAGAGAGCTGAAGAATAGAGGGGCAGTGTCATAGGGTTGCCAGGCGTGGTGTAGCAGTTCTGTAATTCCAGCACTCAGGAGGCAGATGCAGGAAGATTCTGAGTTCAGATCCTACAAAAAAAAAGTCAGCATCTGTAATTTATTGTAAAATACTTCAGTCCAAAGAAAGGATGAAGCGAATGAGGCAAAATGCTACTCATCACCTCTAGACATTGAGAATATTACTATTGGTTACAGTGTTTCTCTACTTCTCTATCTGACATTTTTTTACAGCAAAAATCACCCTCCCTGAGAGAGAAAAAAGCAGTGGGGGATCAGGCGAACCCCGCAAGGCTCCTATCCCCTCCTTTGGTGGGCTCCTCTCCCGTGTAGTGTCTGGGTGGTTAACACAGAAGTCATTTGTGTGACACTCGCTGTGCACTGAGGGCCGTGGTTCCATGTTGGGCATGAACACAGAGCCTTACCATGTCCCCTACCTGTTGCTACAGCGTTGCCAGCACCGTGAAGCATGCCTTGTCCATCTGGCTCAGCATCATCGTTTTTGGCAACAAAATCACCAGCCTGTCAGCCATTGGCACCATCCTTGTGACAGTGGGCGTCTTGCTCTACAACAAGGCCAGGCAGCACCAGCAGGAAGCCATGCAGAGCCTGGCCTCAGCCACCAGTCGGGTCCCAGAGGATGAAACAGAGCCACTTGTTTCTCAGGATCCCAGACAGCACCACTGAGTGCAGGCCTCTGACTGCACAGCCACCGCTGGGCTCCTCCTGACACTGTGTCTTCTGGAAACCAGGCCCCCCGGGGCTGCCTTCCTGCATCACCAGGTGGGCTGGGAGGGGGATTGTGTGGTGGGGAGGGAGCTCTCCTGCCCTTCATTGGAAATCAGGGGTCAGCTTCCACCCAACAGGAAACCACATCCACTGACTGCTGACCACTTCAGGAGGGAGTGGAGCAGCCCACAGAGCCACTTTGTGCACATTGTCAGGGCTGCATTTGAGCCAGGCCCAAGCGCCTCTGCACTGATGCTGTCTGTGGAGCTGTTGAGGCTCTAGTGCCAACATAAGCAACTCCCTGCCTCATGCCAGTTTGAAGACCTCAACTTCCTGCTGCCAGTGCCATCGCTGAAGCTGCCTGGTCTCTGACCACTGTGAAGATTGGCTGAAGTGTCCACCTGCAGGCTGATGTGCTGGGACAGAAGTCTCAGGTGCTCATGGCCCCAGGCATGAGATCGGGCAGAGAGGCTCAGAAACGAGGGTCTCCTACCAAGGGCAGAGGCTTTGGCTCTCTCCCTGCCCTAGAGATATTGGTCATCACCGAGAGTTCTGGGGTCATTTCCTCCCCCACAGCCTCAGCATCACACGATGCTAGAGAGACTTCCTTCTGTGAAGAGAAAGCTGCGCTTCCCAGTCTGAGCTGCACTGAGCCCCACCTCCACAGGTTGCTTTCCATACTGGATACTGCCCATTAGGGATTTCCTGCCCTGGAGGTTGGGGACAAATCTCTTCGGTGTCCTTAGGTGGGTGCCCTGGCATTTCTTTCCTGTCCTGGACCTGATGAGTGTGACATGGGCTGTTTAAAGTTCTGCTTGTGCTAAGCCAGTTTCTAATCTTATAGCCAGCAGTCCCAAGATTCCTTGCAGGGATGAGTTGAGGGGATGTTTGTCAGAACCTTTGAAGTGTTTAGTTTACACTGCATTCAAAGTGACACTGGATGTTATAGCAAAGCAAGCACCCGTACCTGAAGGTTTCTGGAGTGTGTCTGAGTGTTAGGTGGACCCCAGCCCTGATATGCCTGGCCATCCCTCAGGGGTTCTGAGCCTGCCCCTCCTCAAGGTCACTTGTCCCAGCACTCAGTAAGGAAGCTTGAGGAATGGAGGATAACCACACCAGAGTTTGAGCCTCATGAGGGTGAGGTTCCACTTTATTCCTCATTTTTCAGGGTTCTGATCTGGGGTGCAATCCTTCAGTCAGTGTTTGAGACCCTTCCATCACCTTGAACTCTGGGGTTTGTGAGCTGCAGCCACTGGCACTAACTGCTCCTAGTCAGTCTTGTTTCCCTTTCCTGCTCTTTTGGTCTTTGGTACCTGTGATGGTTCACTGGTTTTCCACTGAGCTTCTCTACTGGAAAATAGGAAAGTAGCCCCTCTGAGAGAGAAAATCTCTCAGTACAAAGAGCAATAATCATACCTCATTCAAAGTTCTATTGGAAAAGTCTGCCATGATGATGGATGAGGCCTTTTAACCTAGAAGCCAGCTTTTTATAGACACAAACTTCCTGTGTGCGGGGACAGGCCAAGTGTGTGCCCCCACCCTAGGTCACTTCCACTGTGAAGATGTTTTGTTATGTGACTTTGCCCACGTTACCATTTCTTTCCTTTCCTCTCTGCTTTCCCCAAAGCTGAAGACAATGCAGAAGAGATAGCCAGGTGGTGGTGCTAGACTGATCCTCAAAGTAGCCTGTCCACTTGAGAATATGGCTACCAAGCTGCTGGCGTGAGGAGAATGGCACATGCCTGTGGGGGCCAGTCACGGAAGCCTCCTGGTCTTCCTGCAGACCTTGTCTGAGTGCTCAGAAGCCCAGGCGCCTGGCTTCCGAGTATTGTGGGATTAGGAAGCGGTCTTTGACTTGCCACTCCCCTCCTGCCTCACAAACAGCTCTCAGCCTGTTTTGATTTTCTAAATTTGTGGACCAAAAGCAAAAACAAAGATTTTCCTAAATTATTAGCAAGTGAGGCAATTTCCTGTAAATCTGCTTTTGATACTTTTCCTTGTCCTATGTGGAAAGATCACGGCATCTGTGTTGTGGCCAACGCAGTACCCCTCACCCAGCTTCACATTCCTTCCCAGTATCACCACACCTTGCTTGTTGCCTGCCAGCTGCTGCTTCCCACAGCAATTCAGAATAGCCCCAGGCTCAGCATGGCCATTTGTTACAACTGTACAGACAATATGGCTTTTTTAATCACTTGGTCTAGTACTTTTATAGGATAGTATGTTCTCAAGGAATCGTCACAGTTGTGTGTGGAAGCACTGACACTAGGTGTCATTACTTATGTTGGTTAATTCCTCCTGTGTCCATGTCATTGTGCCTTTGTAAACAAACAGAACACTTGACAGACCGTCCAAGTCCAGCCATCCACTTACTTACTTAGAGATATGTAGGTTTCTAATTTCAAAAAACCTTCCATGAGTTCAGGATACAGCTCACTAGTACAGCACTTGCCTGGCATGTGCGAGGCCCTGGGTTTGATTTCCCAGCACTTAAAAATTCTTCCACACAATTAAATGTCATCAAAAGATTTTTTTCATTGTTTTTTTGTTTTGTTTTGTTTTTTAATTCTAGCTTGGTGACAGTGCCCCATGCCTGTAATACCAGGTACTAAGGAGACAGATATCAGAGCAAGATAGAGGTTCAAGGCCAGTCCAGGGAAAATGAAAGCAAGACCCTATCTCAAAAATACCCAACACAGTGGCTCAAGTGGTGAGCACCTGCCTAGCAAGCATCAGGCCCTGAGTTCAAACTCCAGTACTGCCAAAAAAAATTCAGATAGTCATAATTTCCTGTGTCAGCATTATAATTTGCCTGCCAAGGAAGTTAACCATACTCTTGCACAATCTAAAATGTGTCTTCAATTTGAGAAAAATAAACATGGTGAATCAGTTTAAAAAAAAACTGTACAAAGACTGTCAGCCAGTGTACTTTTAAAACCCTTCCACAGTTCAAGTGGTAAAGCTCCTGCTTTGCAAACTTGAAGCCCTGAGTTCAAATATCAGCCCCACCAAAAAAAAAAAAAAACCTTCCACACAGCTGGAGGTTCAGGTGAGAAAGCACTCGATTCATGAGCATGAGGCCCTGAGTCCAGTACCACCAACAAAACCCAAACCTACAAAACCTGCCAGCTTTGTAGCTTCCTGCTTCTCTGGAGGGTTACAGCACTGGCGTCATTTTACATCTATCCCAGTGACATGCTTTCTACCACCTGAAAGGATTTACAGTTTCCCTGGTTTGGAAAAGGAAACAAGGCCAGGCGCTGGTGGCTCACACGAGTAGTCCTGGCTACTCTGGAAGCAGAGATGAGGAGGAAAGTGATTCGAAGCCAGCCCGAGCAAGTAGTTTCCTAGACTCAATCTCAAAAGTACTCAACACAAAACAGGGCTAGTGGAGTGGCTCTAGTGGTAAAAGCACCTGCCTGGCAAGTGTGAGGCCCTGAATTCAAGCCCCAGTATTGCAAAAAAGAAGAAAAAAAAAAAAGGATATTAATACAGATAGAAATCTGCGTCAATTGTTTTTTGTCTTTTGAGACAGCCTCACTGTGTAGCCTAGGCTGGCCTTGAACTTAAGATCTTCCTGCTTCAGCATTCAGGGTGCTGGGATGATTAAGCATGTGCCAACATGCCTAGCTTCCAATTCTTTTGCCTTTGACAAACATTTTCCTATGGGCTTTATTCCTTTCTTAAGACAATATATAGCCTGGTTGGGGCCCCTTCATTTTCCACCCCTTTTTTGAGGTGCTGGGGGTTGAACCCAGGCCTTCGAACAGCTGGGCATGCGCTCTACTACTAAGCTGCACCAGCCCGTTTTCCTAGTTTATAAGTAAAAATGTCTCAGCACCCCTGATGAATTGGGTGTTTTTCTCTGTCCTGGAAAAAGACCAAGGATAGATCCTCAAGGTCATGCTGACCATGGACTGACTGCACCTACTGCTATGCAGAGAATAGAAAACAAACTAAAGTATTCCGGTTTCTAGGGGGCTCTGATTCTCAGTTTGGTGGCTGCTGGACCCTTGCTCAGATATCCAAATTCAGTTTGAAATTATTCCATCAGGGAAAAAAAAAAGCTTCAGGATTATTAACAAAAATAATATGCCACCCTTTTGGACTGGGGGTGGCTCAAGTAGTAGAGCTTCTGCATAGCAAGATAGAGGCCCTGAGTTCAACCACTACTGCCAATTCAAAAAAAAAAAAATCCATGCCTGGGCATCAGTGGCTCACGCCTGTAATCCGAGCTACTCAGGAGGCAAAGATCAGGAGGATGGAGGTTTGAAGACTCATCCTCAAATAGTTACATGAGACCCTATCTTGAAAAAACCCAATACAAAAAAGGGCTGTTGGCACGGCTCAAGTACTGAAAAAAAAAAAAAAATCAACTGGCAGTCTTTTTTTTGTTTTCATTTCTGGGAAGTGCATTTGGTTCATATGTGATTTCCAGGCAATGCAAATAGATGTGAGTCTTTACCTGCCCAAGGGGTGTTACAGGCTCCACTTGGAAGAGGTCCTCAGTTAGGGTGACGGTCTCACACTGCAAAACTGGAGGTCAGGAGTGGTGTAGCATGCCTGTAACCCCCAGCTACTCAGGAAGCAGAAACAGGAGGATCATGAGTTTGAGACTAGCCCATGCAATTAGTGAGACCTTCTCTCTCAAAACAAAACAAGGGCTTCCAGCATAACTCAAGTTGCTGGCCCTGGGTTCATTCCCCAGTACGCAAAAAAAAAAAAAGGAAAACTACATCGCTAATTGTCAACATAAGACCTAAATAATTTGTTTTATACCAGACAAGAGGAAGTAAAGTACTTGATACAAAATGTATGTAGTGTTTCTATGTCACCCATTTCAGTCTTTACGTAACTAGGTTAATGCCTCCTAGGAAGCAGCTGTGTTAAGTAACCCAGTGAGTCTCGCAACTTCGGCTGTGGTAACAAGTTGGCACTGTCGCCAATGCCTCCTGAGCGCTGTGTAAACTGAGCAGCCACGGGAGCGGCTGTCAGTGGTTCTTGCTCTGAAAAGTAAAGCGAATCTTAGCTACGTAGCTTGTCGTCGTCTTTGTGTAACTCTTGGGTTTCTGGTCCTGAAGTCGTCAAAGCTGTTTTTTACTGCCTTCGTCAGTTTTCAGCATGAAGGGAGTGAAAAATGAAAGCCGTTCCCGGTCACCGGGAGCTCAGGAGACAGACTGGCAGCTGGGTGCACAAAATAAGCACTTCAGTCTGGGGAAGAGAATCCCAGCACCCCCATTGTCCCCGCTGGGACAGGGAGGCCAACCGCGTGGCCAGGGGGAGAAGACGTCCATCGCCGCGGAGCTCCGCGTCCCACAGCACGTGCGGCTCGAGCGCCTCTAAGAGGGAGCTCTGCCCGCTGCCGGGGACGCAGGCCGAGGGCTCCGAGGCCACTGAGGTCAGGCGGCGGCGGCGGCGGCCATAGAAACCCGGCAGATCGCTGCGCACGGGAAGAGTCGGGTTCGTCTGATCTCCAGAGCAAGACTAGCCGCGCCCCGCGCCCCGCCCCGGTTCTCGAGTCACCGCTCGGCGACGCCGAGGGGAGGTGCCTAACGCTACTTCTGGGTTCTCGGACCCGAAAACCGCCCAGTCCTCTTGCGTCATCAGTACGCGCCGGCGCAGGAAGTGGTGACGTCCAGGCGCTCGCTGGGCGCTGTTTCTTCCCAGGTGCTGAAAAGGAGGTTCCGAGTTGCCGCCGTCGTTGTGCGTCATCAGCACGCGTCTACGCAGGAAGTGACGACGTTCCCAGCGCGCGCCGAGCACTGTTTCTTCTCTGGCTCGGGGACCGGCGGCAGCGATAGCGGCAGCGGCACAGGGGTGAGTGGCGGTGGGGCGACCTGCCCAAGAGAGCACAGGGCGATCGACGCACCGCGGCCTCGGATCCGGGCGGACCTCGGGGTGGGGACAGCCGTGGATTCGGGAACCAGCGACACCCCTTCTCTCCAGTCCAGTTTCGCCTCCCGCATAAGTTCCAGTGCAGGAGGCGGCGGTTCCAGGCGCTCCCGGGAGCCAACCGCTGACATCCAAAACTTTAGGGTTGAGTGGCTGAACCCAAGGAGGTAGGAACTCGGCTCCCGGGTCAGGCGGCCTGGTTTGCGAGCGCCCCTTCTCCGCACGCCCACCCCAGGCCTCGCAGCACCCTGCGGCGGAGAGTCCAGCCGTCCTGGCTCCGTTTAGCCCAAATGGCCTTTCTGATACTTTCTTTTGACACCAGAGGCAGAGCCAAGTGAGTGCCAGGCATTGACCTAAGCGCTTTTAACTGGGTGATCTCCTTTTATTCTCGAGCATAAGAAAATTGAGTTGAAGAAAACTAAGTTGCCCACGAACAGAAAAGAGATTATGTTCCAACAGAGTCTTTCCCTCCACTCGAGACATAGTCTGAAACACTCAGAAGTGACTAGGCTTAAGTGTTCCCAAACAACGGAGCTTGCTGTGTCCTGAGGTTGCTTGAATTATTTTTCTTTTTACAGTGTTTTAACTCAAATGGGTGATGAAAAGGACTCTTGGAAAGTGAAAACTTTAGATGAAATTCTTCAGGAAAAGAAACGAAGGAAAGAACAAGAGGAGAAAGCAGAGATAAAACGCTTAAAAAATGTAAGCCATGTTTTTTTAAGTAAGTGGTTTTCTTAAAGGAGATTTAATTTCTTTGCCCTCATTTTTCCATTAGAACAACGCTTCTTCGGTGAAGTTCTTTTGTACTTCCAATGTCACAGGTGAGCCCAAAATCTATTCTAAATAACAAAACATTCATGTAATGAGTTCACATTGAGGCAGTTGATAACACAGAAGTTGTGTCTAAATGAGAATGTCTACTTGGAGAATAAAATGTTCTGAACCTAGAATCACTAGTGCACCTGGACTAATTTTTCTCATTTCATAATACCATTCATTCCCAGGTATTTTTAATATAGTGGGAACTTGCCTTGAAATTAATACGAGTGTTTTCTATCTTTCTTGGTTTGCATAATAACATGGACAGAGTTGTTGGCTGAAGTACCTCTTTTGGTAAAGTCGGGACAGATCATTTGAAACTATATATAAGGATTGTATGAGTTACCAGAAATTATTTGGTGTGTAAAATCTAACAGAAGTCTCAATTTTGGTTCATAGGCAACTAACATACTTGGCGTAGATTCTAGTGTTTCTTGTCATATTTTACGCTGGCTTTAAATTTCCCATCTCAGGTTTTGGGTTCTAGAGACTTGTGAGTCTAATGCCATTGGATTTGAAGAAGAGCTCTTTCTTTATTTTTGTAACATTTGGCCATTGAAAGTGTGTATGGAAGTTTTAGGGTGTTGCCAAAGTTTGGTTTCATTAAAAATACATTGAACTGAGCATGGTGGCAAACACATAATCCTAGCATTCAGGAGGCTGAGGCAGGAGGATCTTGAGTTCAAGGGCAGCCTGGGATACATATCCAGACCCTGTCTCAAAACAAAAGAAAACTGGGTGGGGTTGATCACACCTGTTAACTCAGCTATATTCGGGAGGTGGAATTTGGGAGGCTTGTGAATTGAGGCCAGCACAGGCAAAAAGCTAGCAAAACCCCGTCACAGCCAACAAGCAGAGTACGGTAGAGTGTGCCTGTGATCTCAGCTATGTGGGATGCCATATGTAAGAGAATGGCAGTCTGAGGTTGGTCCTGGGGCAAAAACTGGAGACCATACCTAAAAATAACTAAAGCAAAAAAATGTGCTGGGGGTGTGGCTCAAATGGTTGTGTGCCAGCCTAGCACTCACAAGGCCCTGAGTTCAAATTCCATACTGCCATAAAAAACAAAGTTTATAAGGAAAATGACTCATTTTCTGTTTGCTTCCTAGTCTGATGACCGGGATTCCAAACGGGATTCCCTTGAGGAGGGGGAGCTGAGGGATCACCGAATGGAGATCACAATCAGGAACTCACCTTACAGAAGAGAGGACTCTATGGAAGACAGGTGAGAGAATGCACCAGACGTTGCAGACTGACTGGGAGCTCTGATTTCTGTTGTAACACATCATTCCCCTCTGAAAACAACAGAATGAGCAATGTGTTCCCTCCTTTGTGGTGATTCTTCAGTCGAGCCAGCTTTTAAATTAGATAATATAGTTAAATGTTTAAGAGTAAAATTTTAGCCAGGAACCAGGCTGATGGGTCCCACCTATCATCCTAGCTACTTGGAAACAGATCCTGTGCAAAAAAAAAAAACGAGACCCTATCTCGAAAACACTAGCTAGGGAATGATGGTATAGCTCAAGCAGTAGAGTGCCTACTTTGCAAGCAGAAAGCACTGAGTTCAATCCCAGGTACCGCCAAAAAAAAAAACAAAAGGGGGTGGGGTTTAGCCAGGTGCTCGAGGCTCACACCTATAATCCTAGCTACTTGGGAGGCTGAAATCAGTTTGAGGCCAGCCTGAGCGAAGAGTTCTTGAGACCCCCCCCACCAGTCTCCAAAATAACCAGAGCATAATAGATTGGAGGTGTTGCTCAAGCAGTAGAGTGCCTGCTTTGCAAGCATAAAGCCCTGAGTTCAAACCCCAGTGCCACCAAAAAAAAAAAAAAAAAAAAAGAAAAGATTTTACACAAGTAATCCAAATCCAAAGTAGAATGCAGAGAAAGGCCACTGTTAGAAATACCGATGGCAAGATGCATGTCTTGATTCTTTCTGTGCAGAGATATCTGTCATTTGTTCCCTTGTCATATCTTGTGAGATAATTAAAGAAAGTACAACCAGAAATTAAGGTAGAATGATTGCCCTGTAAGTTCTTCCAGGGTCTTGGTGGTATGGTATAGAATCAGTTAAAGATGATGTCAAATGAATTTGATGAATTTGTGAACCAGGTGTAGTGTTACATGACTGTAGTCCTAGCTACTCGGGAAGCTGAGGTAGGAGGAGCACTTATGTCCAGAAGTTCTGGCTGTAGTGCACTGTGCTGATTGGGTGTCTGCACTAAGTTAGGCATCGATACAGTGACCTCCCAGGAGTAGGGGACCACCAGTTGCCTAAGGAGAAATGAACTGGCCAAGGTTAGAAACTCCTGTGCTCATCAAGAGTAGGATTGTACCTGTGAATAGCCAGTGCACTCCCACCTGGGAGACACAGTGAGACCCTGTATCTTAAAAAAAAGAGAGAGAGAATTTGTGAGATATTAAGATTGATAAAATTACAGGAGCATAACAGCTTTAATAAACTGTACATGAAAAAATAAACTGCACATAATGAGGGTGATTTGATGCATTTTTGCATTCTCCTAAAACCATAGCCACAATGAAGATAATGAACACACTCCTGCTTGAGCCACTCTACCAGCCATGAACACACTCCTTACACCCCATATTGACTTCTCATATTCATCTGAACCTTAAAGAGGCTTAAATTTGAGACATCTTTTTTACATGTTTTTTGTTGTTGTTGTTGTTTCTAATGGCAGTACTAGAGTTTGAACTTGGGGCTTCATATTTGCTAAGCAGGTGCTCTGCTACTTGAGCTGTTTCACCAGCAAAATATTTTTTTTTAAGTGATGGTTCAGATTCAGCTTTATTCCACTGTGACTTTTTTTTTCCTTTGGGTGGGGGGGTCCCTAGTTCTCCATGTACTTGCCAGTATGATGTGACTTGTATCTATTTCAGAGGAGAAGAAGATGACTCTCTGGCCATCAAACCACCCCAGCAAATGTCTCGGAAGGAAAAGGCCCATCACAGGAAAGATGAGAAGAGAAAGGAGAAGCGCAGGCACCGCAGCCATTCAACAGAAGGGGGTACTATGTTTTGTTCACGTGTGTTTTTTTGGTGTGTGTGTTTTTGTCAGGAATGGACTTTGAACTCAAGGCTTCACATTTGCAAAGCAGGTGCTCTCCTGCTTGAACCACCTCCAGTCCATTTTGCTCTGGTTATTTTGGAGGTGGTGTCTCTCAAACTGTTTGCCTGAGTTGGTCTTGAACCATGATCCTCTTGGTCTCAGCCTTCCAAGTAGCTAGGATTGCAGGTGTGAGCCATTGCTGGACTCACATATATTTGTTTTTTCTGTCATTATCCGACTTTTCCAGAGCATAGTGGAAAGAGAAGACAAATAAAATTTTAGCTAGAGATATAAAGACATGGGCGATTTCGAATACCCATTTTCCTCATTATCTTGCTTTGGATTACTTTGTCTACAAAATTAATCATTGTTCAGTAAATGCAGGGGAAAACACATAGAAAAGTGGGAGTTGGATTAAGTCCAACTAGTGACTGTGGCTTAATAAGAGTTTTGATTTCATGCCAGTCCCAAAAGGTCTTTGAACCAGGTCCCCATATGTTGCCCAGGCTGGCCTCCTACTCATGGTCCTCCTGCCTCAGCTTACTGAGCACTGGAATTACAGGCTTGCACCACTATGCCTGCCTTTAGGTGTACTGGAAAACTTGCCTTGGGGCATGATTTAAACGTTTTTTGTTTTGTTTTTATTTGTTTGGGTTTTTTTTCTTCAACTCCAAAACTAGGATGTTTTTATTTGTTTTTGAGACAAGGTCTCACTATTTAGTCCAAGCTGGCTTCAAACTCCCATGTGCTGGGATTATAGGCGTGTACCACCATGTCAGGCTATAAATGCATTTGTTAATTCATGTGTTTTTTAGAACATGATATAGAAATCTATTAGCAGGAACAAAGCTTTGTTCTGTATTGGTTATGAATAGTGATTTTTGTAAGTTATGAAACTAATAGATTTAAAAGAAGGTGAAAAGAGGTGAGGAGGATCAGGAGATCAAAGCCAGCCCAGACAAATAGTTCTCTAGACCCTATCTCAAAAATGCCCAAAACAAAAAAGGGCTGGTGGCGTAGCTCAAGTGGTAGAGGGTCCCACCTAGCAAGCATGAGGCCCTGAGTTCAAATCCCCATACTCCAAAGGGACATTGGGAAATAAGTCTTGTTTAGCAATAACCACAGCCTTTTTCTTTCCATAATCAGAGACTTGCCACACAGAGTTTCATATATCTCATTTTTAATTCAATATAAGATTGATTTTTCAAGCTGTTATTTAAGTATTTTAATTTAATTTTCTTTTCCTTTTTTTTTTTTGGTAATATTGGGGTTTGAACTCAGGGTTTCACATTTGTGAAGGTAGGCAGGCACTGTACCACTTGAGCCACCCATTCAGCCTTCCTGATTTAATTTTTAAGTTAAACTTTTGGAAGTTGAGGTTCTTTGTGTGACACTTGTCATGTCTCATCAGGGAAGCATGCTAGAGTGAAAGAAAAGGAAAGAGAACATGAACGTCGGAAGCGCCATCGAGAAGAGCAGGATAAAGCTCGCAGGGAATGGGAAAGACAGAAGAGGAGGGAGCTGGCAAGAGAACATTCCAGGAGAGAGAGGTGAGGCTTGCTGATTAAGGAGCTTTAGTCAAGTGCTGTGGTCAGTGTCCTATTGAGGCAGGGGATAAAAGGTACTTGGTGTCAGAAGGCAGCTTTGGCACATGAACATAGGAAATGCCACAATAGATGCTGGGTGGAAGTGAGAGTTTTCCTGGAGGGAGTGACTTTTACTGTATCTGCCAGACAGGTGGATGTGAATTGACAGGGAAGGTAACAAAGGGCCCAGGAGTCTGGTGCGAGACCTTCAGGAGGGTCCTGGCTCACCCAGAGATTCAGTTCAGTGATAGGTTAAGGAAAGGGTTATTGCAGGGAAATGCTGGAGGTTGCAATGGGAATTTAGACACAAGGCCAGACAGGAAGCAGTGGAAATGGAAAAGGAGGTGCAGTGGGAGGGGTGGTCTTCGTGAAGGCCTCTGAGCCTGTGACATTGGGGTATGAGGCAAGTTCCCTCTGGGAGGAACATGAGGTCTGAAATGTTAAAGCTGTGATAAAGAGTGCTGTCATCCCTGAGGAAGCTGGCGAGTACACATACATGAATTCTGACAGATCACTGCTGAGGAGAATTGTGTGAATGTTCCCCACTCTGCTCTGCTCTGAGTTTACCTCTGATAACCAGTGACATAGACTGCTTATGGATGTGGTCTAGCATGGGGTGACCAGGGAAATGGATTGCTTAGGGACCTCTGTCACATTGGAAATAGACTCTGTTTCTTTCCAATGTAAAAGGACAGAACAATAAGAAAGAAAACCTCCAAGGCCTTGACCCAGTCTGGGAGCTGGGACACTAGACTCGTGTCCAAATTCCTTTCCAAATTCCTCTCCCATCAGCTCAGACTCTTAGGAGAGACATCTGTTTACCCCTATATTGTGATCTGACCAGGTGAGAGCTGGGAGCTGGTGTGCTGCATGAGGGAGTGTGCAGGTATTGGCCATTCCCAGCAGGTAATGCTGAACAGAGCATGGAAGGAGAGTGAGAGGGGTATTGGCTCTCGTTGAGGAGGAGCAGCGTGGAGACGCTGAGTCCTGGCAGTTAATCACCCATGCTTACAAAACAGACTGTACTGGGCACTGAGTGCCTTGTGCAGTGAGGGGAGGTTATTAGGCAACATTTGGGCTTCTGTGTAGATGTCCCAGAAGGTAAAGCAGGAGGAGCAGGAGGCACGTATTGGACAGACTTCTGGCTTGGACCAAACAAGATCTGCCAGTTTTCTCCCAAAAAAGCTTTAAAGCTTTACAAAATTGAGGAAAACCACCATATTTGTGCTTTGGAAGCTGCCCAGAGGATAATCTGAGAAGCACATATACTTGGAAAACTATTGGGCTGTGGGTGAGAGCAGTTGGAATTGGCCTTCTAGCCTGGGTTCTGCTCCTTTACTGTCTTCCCCCAGCTTGGTCAGCATAGAGGTTTTGCCAAGGCAGCGCAGCAAGGCCACCAGCACCCGCAGCTTCTTTGCTGCCTTTGAAAGGGGTCACTCAGTGTTCAGTGCTGCACAGTGCCCTCCCCATCAGTGTTGTCATCAGCTAGTGATGGTCTGCAAAAAGTACAGAAGGCGGGGCCATGATAATCTTCTGTGTTGCCCTCATTTTATCTCTGTTTATTTGTTTGTTTGTTTTTGCAGTACTGGGGATTGAACTCTCAGGGCTTTGCACTTGCAAGGCAGGTGCTCTACCACTTGAGCCACTCTACCAGACCTTGCTCCCAGCAAAGCACCACGAGTTGTTTGATTTCACTTTTTCTTTTTTCTTTTTTTTTGCAGTGCTAGAGATGATGGAACCCAGGGCCTCAAGCATGCTAGGCAGGTGCTCTGCAGAGCTACACTCCCAGGCCTTGGTTTCTTGAGACAGGGTCTCACTCTGTAGCCCTAACTGGCATCAAACTCTTGCTCTTCCAGCCTCTACCTCCTTGTGCTAGGATTACAGGCTTGCACCACCATAACTGGCTTGATTTCATCATTTTTATGTGTTCATTATGTGTGTGTAATGATACTCCTTTTAAAACCTGAATTAGCTTTTCAGGTTGTATTCAGACTATATTAACATGAAAAATTAACTCTGACACATGAATTTTGTCACTTTATGTGGCTGGCCACATGTTTCAGTCACCAATACTTCCTACACTCTGGGAAATGCCTTCTTTATTTCCAAGCAACCTGCCTTCTGCCCTCCTGTGTTACATTTAAGCCCACACTGTTTCAGGCTGGGGTGTCCCAGGATCCATCTGCCTGGACAGCCCACTGAAAGAAAGTTATCCCCCTGGCCTCTGGGCTATAGCCTCCTCCCCACCTTTCCCGATAGGCTTCCCTGCCTCTGCCTCCTTTACAGCCTGGGCACATTGATTTTTTTTTTTTTTTTTTTGCAGAACTGAGGTTTGAATTCAGGACTTTGTGCTTGCAAAGCATGTGCTCTACTTTTTGAGCCATGCCTCCAGTCCATTTTACTATTTTGGAGATAGGGTCTGTTAAGAAATACTTGCCCTTGCTGACCTCCAACCTCCATCCTCCCCATCTCAGCCTCTCCAAGTAGCTAGGATTACAGGCATGAATCACCAGCCCCCAGCCACATTGACCTGATCAGGTGGTTTTAATATGCATTACATACTTAGATACTTGCTGTGTTTTCTTAGGGCTACTAGCAAACATGCCACGACCAGTAGGTTTTCAGTTTCTGAGGGTGACTGCCACTTTTTGTGGTACTTTGTTCTATCCTGCAGTGGCTCACTAAGAATAGTGCTCATGCTGTGTGCATGTGTCTCCAGCTCCTAAGCAGTCCTTTGTAGATTAGCAGCATGCAAAGACACTGTGTAAGTTGAGCAGAAAACCTAAGAAATGGCTGTTTTCTATTTTCTGTAATGATAAGATAGAAACTTACTATGTAGCCTGGATTGGCCTCACACACACTGCCCTCCTGCTTCAACCTCCCAAGTGCTGGGATCATAGGCATGCACTACCATGCCACACCATGCCTGGCAAGAAAGCAAGCTTTCTGCTTTTTCCAGGGACCGCCTGGAGCAGTTAGAGAGGAAGCGAGAGCGGGAGCGCAAGATGCGGGAGCAGCAGAAGGAGCAGCGGGAGCAGAAGGAGCGGGAGCGGCGGGCAGAGGAGCGGCGCAAAGAGCGGGAGGCCCGAAGGGAAGGTGCTCTTCCATGGGGCCCCTGCCTGGGCAGCTCACACAGGTTTCCTGCAGGCACTCATCTCTGCCTCAGTGCATGTGCTGTCCCCACCCTGAGCTGGCCCTGGGCAGAGCACCCACAGGGCGAGCCAACGTTGATGGGTGGGAAGGCCAGACATGGTTGAGCAAAGGTAGTGCTGGGCCAGGGTGTGTAGCCAGGCCTGTCCTTGCCAGACATGGTACTATATTGTCGGCTGCCCTTTTGTTGGGCACACTTGAGAGGTGGATTCCTGGCTCCTGAACTCCAGTTTTTGAAAATTGTAGAACTGTGGCAAATATAGGCTGGAGACTCGAGTGTAGGGCACCTGCCTGACAAGTTCACCAAACCCCAGTACCACACACACATACAAGATACATGGGAAATACACCAACCATCTTTAAGTGTACATTCAGTGGCTTTAAGTATATTCACATTGCTGCACACCATCCCCACCATCCATCCCCAGAACTCTTTCTACCTACATTGTTCCCATAAGTGACTCCCATCATCCTCCACTCCCAGCCTGACACCCTCCATCGTGTTTCTTATTGCTAGGGACCTGACAATCGTCATTTCCTCTGGAGTGGAATTATGCATTGTCTTTGTGGCTGGCTTATTCCTCTCAGCATAAAGTCTTCAGGGCCCGTTCTTGTGGTAGCTTGTGCTACCTTCCTTTTGGAGGCTGTCTGGTAGGAAGGACTTAATTTTGTTTTTATTTTTGTTTGTTTTTTCATTTTCTACCTGCCTTATTGCTTTCTTTGTCCCTCATTTCCTGCATTACTGCCATCCTTTGTGGGGTTTTTCATTTGTATGTTTTTGTGTACTGGAGGTTGAACTCGGTTTTGTGCTCTTTGGGCAGGCACTCTACTACTTGAGCCATACCCCCAACCCATATATCAGTTCTGTCCAAATTAACTTGTAAGTATTTGTTGGGTTTTGGGAAGGTTCTGGGGATTGAACTCAGGGTCTTGCACTTTGCTAGACAAGCGCTCTACTACTTGAGCTATGCCCCCTTGCCCATTGTTGACTTTTTTGGTTTTGTTTTGTTTGTGAAATGTTTGTGTTCCTTTCCCCTTTTCTTTTGTGTACATTCTGCATGTTTTTTGTGGTTATCATGGAGATTACATTTAACATCCTAAAGTTATAGCACCAGTTTTAATTCATACCTGCTTTGCTTCTGTAACATGCAAAACTTTGCTTTATTACATCTCCATCCCTGCCTGCCTCAATTGTTGATGTCACATGTCATCTTTATGATTGATGTCCATAAACCAGTAACTTTTTAAAAATGCACTTGTCTTTTAAGTCATGTAGCAAACAAAAAGTCAAGTTATAAACAGTTGTTACACAGTTACACTAGCTTTTACAACCCCATGTATTTACCTTTACTGAACTCTTTCTTCAGACTTTCATCCTCTCCGCCTCCCTTTTTGCCTGTGGGGGCTCCTATGAGGGCTTTCTGCGAGACAGTCTAGTGGTGACCAAGTCCTGCAGCGCTTTTTTATCTGGGAATGTCTTAAATTCTCCCTCACTGTATCTGTAGGCCAGGTATAGGATTTTTGGCAGGCAGTTTTTTTCTTTCAGATGTATCACATCACTGGCTTCTGCCTCAGTTTAGAATACAACCTCTGCTTTTGGGCTTCTCTGTCTTTGCAGTTTCATTGTAACCTATCTCATGTGGGAGTTTATCCTACTTGGAGTTTGTTAAGATTCTTGAATGTTAATATTCACGTCTTCCAAAAACTGTGGGACTTCAGAAGTTACCCTTTGAATTCTCTCTGTCCCCCTCTTCTTCCTGGACTCCTGTGAGCCCAGGTGGTCTGTTTGCTGCTGTTCTTCAGGTCCCCTAGGCTCTGTGGGCTCCTATTCAGTTGTTTTTCTATTTTTCAGGTTTTGTTTCTATTATCCTATCTTCAGGTTCACTGAACCCAGGATCTGCCTTTCTGTCCCTCCTTTAATGGATTGTGTATTTCCATTATTGTAATTTTTTTTTTTTTTTTTGAGGTACTGGGTTTTGAACTGGGCTTCATGGTTGCTAGGCAGGCACTCTATCACTTGAGCCACCACCCCACCAGCCATTTTTTATGTTGGGTATTTTCAAGATAGGCTTGCAAATTATTTGCCTGGACTGGCTTCAAAGCAAGATCCTCCTGATCTCTGCCTCCTGAGTAGCTGGGATTACAGCCATGAGCCACAACCACCCGACTCCATTATTGTATTTTTCAGCTCTAAAATTAATGTTTTTAGTTTTCCTGTTTCTTTCCATGTTAATGCACCATTTTCTTAACTTTTGCCATGTCGTCTCCCTTTAGTTCTTTGAGCATCTTTGAGCCAATTGTCTTAAGTCTTGTTTTTGCCTTATGTCTGTTCACACACAGGGAATTTGCTAACAGAAAACACTAGTTTGAGGTGTTCCGTTCACAAGTGGTGCTGTTTGAAGGGATAGGGTGACATCTTCAGACTGTATTATCTTCATACCTGAGTGGGCAGGGCTCTGATGGCTGAGTCTGGCTTTTATGTCCTCCTGTGGCCCAGCATTTGGTATGTGAGGCGGTTCTGTCCACTCCTTGTACCCCTGGGCCATGCCCGGGCAGCAACATAGCAACACCTATGGAGAATGGACCTCTGTTGGCCTGCCCTCACCTCTAAGATGCAGCAGATGGTTTCCTTGCCAGAAGGATCAACACGTGGACCAAGGTGTTACTGAAGGACCTAGATGCACAGGCCCTGCCAAGTGCATTCTCTCCTTAGGTCCAAGGCTAATGACCTGCTCTTACTCTCTTCCTTTGAGGCCATTCCTGCAGGTTGGCACCAGGCTCGTCTTTGTCAAGGAGATATGCTATCAGGTCTTCAGGGCAGTTTTGTGGGTTTACTTTTTTCTTGAATGGGACATGCTTTCCTGTTTGATTTGATGTGTTGTGATTTTGTTTGTGGGGATTTGGCCAGTTGTGATAATCTGGAACTCAGACCCTTCTCAGGGCTCACTGTGCTGTTTGATTGGCACCTTCTCTGCTGAAGATAAACCTGGTGTTTCCTCCTGGGTCACTTCTGAGCCTGCACCTGTTCCTGTGCATGTTCAGTAACTTTCTGACCTCCTGTGTGTTCAGTTGCTTTAATGTCCTTGTCTGGCTCCTAGACAAGGGGTGGCAGTGCAGCTTGGTCCTTACACACTCAGAAAGCCATCCTGGGTAGAGGGGTTGCAACAACAGCTGATTGCAAGCATCAGCCAAAGCATAGGACCCTGATGGTCAGATGACAGGGTCCTTTTGTCTCTGTTGGTCCTGCAGGGCAGCCTGAGATCTCCAGCACAGCTGCTGGCCTGGGGGTGGGAGTGGGCAGCTGCTGTGGTGCTAAGAGATAAATTGACCATGGATAACCACAGTTGACTGTTCAAGCCTCTCCTGGGACTGCACGCTGTCAACAGACTCCAGAGTTCCACACTTTTGCATAAGACAGATTTTGCCAGCTGTTGCCATCCAGTCGATGTCTGGTGTTTCTCACTTTGTTATTTTCCCAACCAGTGAAGATGTGTCTAAAAGGTCCCTTAGTCCTTGGGGTCAGCCCATGGCCTCTGATGTCAATGATGTTGGTCCCGTGTATGCACTGTAGGTGTGTCTGCCCAGGTGCAGGTGTGGGGTATCCCAGGGAAGCTATGTCCAGAGTGAGGCCTTGTTGGAAAGACTGCCAGCATCATCTCCACTCTTTCCTGTGTCATCAGTTTCTGCGCATCATCGCACAATGAGGGAGGACTACAGTGACAAAAGCAAGGCCAGCCACTGGAGCCGCAGCCCGCTACGACCACCACGGGAACGCTTTGAGCTGGTGGACTCCCGGAAGCCAGGTGAGGCCAGGCTAGTGCTCATTTCAAGTCACCATGGAATGTTATTCCTGGAGATGCTTGAACATAAAAATTGGCTTCCTTAACAATTTTATGAAATTAAGGAAAGCCCAACAAAGCAATTTCCTTACTGCAATAAAACAATACACTGGTTACAGTGCCCCCATGTTTTGGGGGATTGTTGACATTTGCCTGAAGTAATGCATGCGTGTATGTGGATGGGCTATTTTTCATACAGAGCGAAGTTGGTCCTTGTGTGCATCTCTTGGGTAGTGCAATCTTGTTTACTATAAAAACATTTCCCGCTGGACACTGGTGGCTCACGCCTGTAATCCCAGCTATTCAGGAGGCAGAGATCAGGAGGATCACAGTTTGAAGCTAGCCATGGCAAATACTTCGAAAGACGCGATCTCGAAAATCAGACACACACACACACACACACACACACACACACACACACACACACAGCTGGTGGAGTGGTTCAAGGTGTCGACCCTGAGTTCCAGCTGATACCACAAAAAAAAACACCTTTTCCCAAGGGCTGGGGATGAAGCTCAGTAGTTCAGTGTTTGCCTAGTATGCATGAGACCCTGGGTTTGATACCCAGTACCACAAAAATAAATAAATAAAAAATAAATAAATTCCCCAAATTCACATTTGATGGTTTGTTTCACAAGTAAAAGAAGAGAAAATGGAAGAAAGAGACTTGCTGTCTGACCTACAGGACATCAGCGACAGTGAGAGGAAAACCAGCTCAGCCGAGTCTTCATCAGGTACCTGAGCCCCAGCTGAGATCTTGACTGTTGCTGCCACACAAGGGAAAGCCATGGCTTACCTGAGTTTCTTTTGCAGCGGAATCGGGCTCAGGCTCCGAGGAAGAAGAGGAAGAGGAGGAAGAAGAGGAGGAAGGGAGCACCAGTGAGGAGACAGAGGAGGAGGAGGAGGAGGAAGAAGAGGAGGAGGAAGAGGAGGAGACTGGAAGCAACTCTGAGGAGGCCTCGGAGCAGTCTGCAGGTGAGGAGCCTGCAGATCCTGATGGTTTTCACGGATTTAAAAGCATTGAGCTCACTGTGGAGAGTTTAGTGATGGTACAAAATAATTTGATACCTCACTTAAGAACATTTCCAAACTGAAATTGCCTTACTCTGTGGGACTCAGGCCCTAAAATTGAGGAGAACCTTGGCTGCTTTTCCTCTGCTCATGCTGACCCTTAGACCAGCAGCTCCAAGGTCAGGGCTCACCCTCATGCTGTTCTGAGCAGTTCCTGTTTCCAAATACTTGTTTCTTTGCAGAAGAAGTAAGCGATGAAGAAATGAGTGATGATGAAGAGCAAGAAAATGAAAACCACATCTTGGTTGGTAAGGACCTCCCTATAATAGCATACCATATCCTCTTTCTGGCCCCATTAACACGGACCGTCTGTAGCACTTAATGCCCCATGAACTCGTGATTTTTCCACAAATGCTGCAGTGAGCTCCTGCCCTGGCAATGTCCAAAAACTGGGAGCTAGCTGAGAGGGCCCCAACTCCTGAGGACACACTATTGGGCGTACAGTCTGTGCCCACGGGGGCTGACATTGCATAGCAAGGAATAGCAGTAGCTGACAGCATCCTTCTGAGTGCCCACTGTCACTGGAATACTGAAGGAGGCTATTAGAAGCTTCTGGGTTTGATGGTGCAGACACTTACTTGAGAGGGAGAGCCTCCATCAGGCAGCAGGACCTGGTAGGCATGAGTTCTGGGCATGCCCACTCCATATGGCACCTGCCCTCGTTCTCAGAGCTCGGTGTCTGGCTCAGTGGCTTTCTTCACCTAGCTCACCAGTACCATAGAACTTGATATCTTTTGTTCACGGGTTGGACCCAATACCAGCTCCCATGTGGAGGAGACAGGCCGTGCTTCCCTTGCCATGCACTCAGGCCCCAGAACAGGAGTGCTGGTAGCACTTGCTTATTCCTGGTTTCATAATTAAGTTTAACGTTTAAAGTTCCAGAGTCACGATTTGACCGAGATTCCGGGGACAGTGAAGAAGGGGAGGAAGAAGTGGGCGAGGGGACCCCACAGAGCAGCGTCCCAACTGAAGGGGACTACGTGCCTGACTCCCCAGCTCTGTCGCCTATTGAGCTCAAGCAGGAGCTGCCCAAGTACCTGCCGGCCCTTCAGGTCAGGCCTCACTCCTACCCTTACCCCTGGCCTGCTCCCTGCTTTGGTGATCTGAGACAAGCAGGTGGCCAAGATCAGAGCCAAATTAAGGAAGCTACTACCCCTGAGCAGCAATCTGGCTGCCTAGGCACTGCTGCCAGCCTCCTGTGAGCTTGGTTATGGTCCTTCCTCATGCCTGTCAGCACTGAGGAGGCTTCCTGGGCATCAGGAGCTACATGCTGTTGCGTCTTCCCTCCCTTGGCCCCTGAACAGGTGGGCAGGCAGTCAGCGTAGAGGCCAGTGAGTGTTGGACACTGCTGGGAGGGATTGGGAGCATGTGCCTGGAACACCACTGTGGGACCTAGTTGCCTACGCCTGAGATTCATCAGCAAGCACCTCTGCCCAGTAGTGCTTCTGGGTAGCATGAGCCTAGCCATAGGCCACACAGAGTGCTAGCACCCCAACCCATGGTGTACACGGAGGGAAGGCATTTCATGCTGTAAGCAGGTGGGCCTTGCCTTTCTCCAGGTATCACAGTCTTCCAGGCAGAAAGATGCTGTTGTTCACCCTGGCTTTATTTTGTACTAAAGTGGTAGGTGGTCTCAGAAGAAAGCAGAGAAAGAACAAAGTTGCTGCTGTTCCCCCCCCACACACTCATTGTCCTCCTGAGGACACTAAAGTTTTTCTGCATACCTGCCTTATGCAAGGTGTGGCATGGGCATTGATGAGAGCTCCCCTCAGTCAGCATGGCTGCCGAGCCCTCATACCACTGCTGCCTCCCCAGGGCTGTCGGAGCGTGGAGGAGTTCCAGTGCCTCAATAGGATTGAAGAAGGCACCTATGGGGTGGTCTACAGAGCCAAGGACAAGAAAACAGGTGGGACGGAGTCCTGCTGTGTCACACTAAGGGAGGGGTTTGGCAAGGAGTGGGCAGCAGGCAACAGCCCAGACAGGCAGCATTCTTCAGGAGTGGCAGTCAGTGGGTCACCCCTGCACTACTGCCAGCCCAGGCTTGGAGGTTCTGCTATTTCCCTGAAGAGTTCTACTTGGTCCTCATGCTGACTCTGGGAGGGACAGTGATCATCCCGCCCCTGGCAGCTGGCCTGGGCTCCTGGCCACTGTACCCTGTGACCTCTGCCTGTGGCAGAGGTGGATTCCCATCTACAAGGCCCTGTGCACCTTCAGAGTCAGCCCTGCCTTTCCCTGGTGCCAGGCATTGGGCTGTGCCATCTCTTGCAGGCACCAGGTTCTGACTTAAGTGTTGCACACCTGACTAAGGCTCTGCTGTTCACTATGACAGCAGGTGGTACACTCCAGGGGTGAGAGATAATGCCAGGGGAGTGGCAGGCATACATTGATAGCAGGAAGATGTGCTTTAAGCTCCACGTATCCACAGGTTGGGATTTCCTTCTTTTTTTTTTTTTTTTTTTTTTTGGTGGTGGTGGTGTTGATATCTAATCTAGGTGACCGCTAGCCACTGAGGTACACCCCTAGCTCAGGGTTCTTCTTCTTAGAGCAAGGTCTTTACTATGAAATAAAAAATGCTCTATAAACAGAAAGTCAGAACCTAGGCCCTCAGAGGGTCTTGCTGTGTTGCTCAGGCTAGCCTGAACTCTTGATTCTTCTGCTTCCACCTTCAAAGTACTGGGATTAGAGGCATGTGCCACTTCACCTGGTCTAATTATATAATTTTCTTTTTTTTTTTTTTTTTTTTTTTAGTACTTACTGAGTTGAGGGTCTCAAACACTTTTTGTCTGGGCTGGCCTCAAACTGCTGTCCTCCCAATCTCCACCTCCTGAGTAGCTGGGATTGCAAGTATGATTACATGCTAGGATTCTACCCAGCCTTACTTACATGGTTTTCTTTCAGATGAAATTGTGGCTCTGAAGCGGTTGAAGATGGAGAAGGAGAAGGAGGGCTTCCCGATTACATCACTGAGGGAAATCAATACAATTCTCAAGGCCCAGCACCCCAACATCGTTACTGTCAGAGTGAGGCCCGGCCCCTGAAGAGGGGTATTCCCATGGGAAGGGAGAAGGTTCCTGAGGTCAGGTGTTCAGCAAACTTTCACAGCAGAAAAGTAGACATTAGTTTCCCAAAATGTCTTAGTAGGTCTTTGCTGCCCATTAGTGTCTGCCTAGGATTTCAGGTTTACTGGGAGAGCCGGTGGCTGCAGGGTGGGGTTAGAGGATGTACCAAGCACCCACAGACCCCCCCCCCCACCAACCCCGTCTATTCCTAGGAAATTGTCGTAGGCAGCAACATGGACAAGATTTACATCGTGATGAACTATGTGGAGCATGACCTCAAGAGCCTGATGGAGACGATGAAGCAGCCCTTCCTGCCAGGTAGGGCCATGTGCTACCCTGCAGGCTGCTGGCCATTGGAGGGAAGACACCTCCGTACCTGGGTGGGTTGTGCTCCTTGGTTGTGAAATGTGGGCAGGACACTCAGGCTATGCCATGAGGGGGTAGCCCTTTGAGCATTGTCCTTGTAGTGATTCCAGTGACACTCCATACTGACCACAATGTGCCCAAGGGCCACGCTGGTCAATCCTGGGACAAACTTCCCCCAGAAGTCTCTGGCAGCTTCTGGGTCACCTAAATGACCCTGGAGGGCCCTGGGCCTGTTGTGGGGCATCAAGGGCTCACTGGTGTGGGGTGTGCGTGTGACCCCAGCACTTTCCCAGGGGAGGTAAAGACCCTGATGATCCAGCTGCTGCGTGGAGTGAAGCACCTGCATGACAACTGGATCCTGCACCGGGACCTCAAGACTTCCAACCTGTTGCTGAGCCACGCTGGCATCCTCAAGGTGAGTCCCACCTGCCACCCACTCTGCTCTGGAGCCCACGGCAGTCCTCATAGACTCCCTCTATCCTTACAGGTGGGTGACTTTGGGCTGGCCCGGGAGTATGGGTCACCCCTGAAGGCCTACACCCCAGTAGTGGTGACCCTGTGGTATCGAGCTCCAGAGTTGCTGCTTGGCGCCAAGGTGAGTCTGGGGGTCTGAGAGCTTCCCCTGCCTGCAGTGACCTCGCTTAGACTTGGGGCTGACACTAAGAGTGTGGGCCTGTAGGCACTTGAGCCGTGAGTATCCTTTGACTCTTAGGAATACTCCACAGCTGTGGACATGTGGTCAGTGGGATGCATCTTTGGGGAGCTGCTGACACAGAAGCCCTTATTCCCTGGAAAGTCAGAAATTGATCAGATCAACAAGGTTTTTAAGGTGCGTATGGAAGCTAGACCATCCATCTGTTGTGGATGTTGGGCCCTGTTGTGGTTGTGCAGGCATCATCAGGAGCAGCTGAGGATGAGGGTCAGGGTTGGGGGGCTCAGATCACAGAATGGCCTCTTTTTCTTTGATGGGACTGGGGTTTGAACTTTGCCTTTGCAGAGCTGGTGCTCTACCACTTGAGCCACACCTCCAGTCCATTTTGCTCTGGTTATTTTGGAGATGGGGTCTCACAAACTAGTTGTCCAGGCTGGCCTCAAATCATGATCCTCCTGATGTCAGCCTCACAAGTAGCTAGGATTACAGGTATGAACCACCAGCACCCAACAATAGCATGGCCTCTTGGTAGCCTGTCCTTTGATAACCACGGCCATGCATTAGCACGATGCACCAGATAGCAGGCTCCTTCCCTGTGGGTGTGGCCAGTTCAGACACCCCTGTCTTTCAGGACCTGGGGACCCCCAGTGAGAAAATCTGGCCTGGCTACAATGACCTCCCAGCTGTCAAGAAGATGACCTTCAGCGAGTATCCATATAACAACCTGCGAAAACGTTTTGGGGCCCTGCTTTCAGACCAGGGATTTGATCTAATGAACAAGTGAGTCCTGGGGTAGCATGGTCTCTGTGACCATAGGGGCCCTGTGCTTGTTCCTTGGCTCCAAGCCTGGTGCCTGGGAGCCCTTTGAAGGATGCCAGACAGGTGGGCACCTCTCCTCCCTAGGCCTCTCACCTGCATCCCAGCCCGCATGGCGGGTGCCCATTGCCCTGTGCTGTTCTCCCCAGGTTCCTGACATATTTCCCTGGGAGAAGGATCAATGCAGAAGATGGCCTCAAGCATGAGTATTTCCGAGAGACCCCCCTCCCTATTGATCCCTCGATGTTCCCCACGTGGCCTGCCAAGAGCGAGCAACAACGGGTGAAGCGTGGCACGAGTCCACGGCCCCCCGAGGGTGGCCTGGGCTACAGCCAGTTGGTGAGAGGCCCGGCTGGCAAGGGTCCCCCTGGGGGGCACTGGCTGAGGCACAGTCCTCATAGTACACACCTTGCTTCACAGGGTGATGATGACCTGAAGGAGACAGGCTTCCACCTCACCACCACAAACCAGGGGGCCTCAGCTGCAGGCCCTGGCTTCAGCCTCAAGTTCTGAAGTCAAAGCGACCCTGGCCCATTCCCCGGCAGCAGGGCTCCTGCCCTGCCTGGACATGTGGGTCCTGCATCCAGAGCTGCCATGAGCCAGGACCCCTGTCTTGGAACTCTTCATCTAAACTTGATTTTCCACGTTTTGGTTTTTATATTTTGATTTGTAAATTTGTAGAATTAAATCACTATTTCCTTTTTGGAATGAAAAGCTGTATGTTTCCAGATGTGTCTGCCTTGCCTCGTTAGGAAGGGTGGGTGTCTGCAGGTGTCAGAGTGGGCAACCCACCCCTCTCCACAGCAGAACCTTGGTCTGGAGCAGAGCCAGCGTTCTCTGCTTGTGGGTCTCGGGGACCAGAGATCTGTGTCTGTGTGAGTGAGCAAGGTGGTCATGCTCACCCAGCTGTCCAGACCAGCGCTGTTCACATGGGCCTCAGTCGCAGATCCGTATGTGTGGTAGCCTCAGCCATGGTGGGTTTTCATACATGAGGTTGTTAACGTTTTAGGATGTAGTAAACTATTCTTGGAGGAAGCTCTGGTGTGTTCTTTCTGGTGTGTCCTGGGTGTGCTCTGGAGGACAACTACTAGCTGCCTGAGCTTAGGGAAGAGGACTGGGGTGACAGGATTGGGTACAGCCCTGTGGCTTCTGACCCCATTTGGGCTGAGCATGGTGATGGCCTCATACAGCAGAAGGGGTGCCTAGCTGTGCCTGCACCTCTGCCCAAGATGGTCCTCAACCCCCTTCCCTGACACTTGAGACCCCACCGTGGGCTCCTCTTGGTTCACCCAGGTGATGCTGCTGGCACTTGAGCTTCAGTTTACCCATTGCTCCAGAGGCCATCAGCCCTTGTCCTGTCAGTATGTCCTCACCCCAAGGGACTGCAGAAGTAGGGGAAGTCTGACACCCCAGGCTCCCCACATCCAAGTGGACAAGAACTGAGTAGGGCTGCTGCCCGTCTACAGCAGGGCCCAGACTAGCCGTTTGCCCTCCATCATCCCAAAAAGCAGCATGGACACATCAGAGAGAAAGTGCTTTATCTGCTGGCTTCTAGCCCAGGAGCTCTGAACAGGCTCAGCTCCTCACTCGGACCCGCCAGGAGTAGGTGGTGAGCACACGCTGGTGCCGGCGTACCACGCACGTGTAGGTGCCCTCATTGACAGCGTTGGCGATGATGCTCAGCTGTGCCTCGCCCAGGGCCAGGTAGCCAGGGTAGGAGAACTCCAGGGGTTCCTGGTCCTTGTACCAGCTGTGGGGGGGAAGCTCCTGCATGCCTGTCCTGCCCCATCCCAGGAGCCACGGGCAGCCCGGGTCCCTCCAGAATGTGCCCATTCTGCCCCACACCTAGTGCCCACACAGCTTGAGCTCCCTGCCTCCACATGCCCAGTCAGTGCTGGTCACTCACTATACTTTGCCTTTCTTGTGGAGGATCTTCTGGCCACAGCGGAAGGTCACGTTCCTGCCTTCAGACACCAGCCTGGTTTTGGTCCTGGGGGGGGGTGGAGTGGTGGCCACCGTGGGGAAGGGGAACTCTGCTTGGGGTACAGGGAAATGTCAATTCTTCCCCACCAGACCAGGGCCAACACAGGGAGACAGGCCAGAGTGGCTCCACCCCAACCGCAGACGTCACCGTAGCAGAAGTCACAGCTGCTGGGGCAAAGCCTCTTCATGAGCCTCTGGCGGGCATCGCAAAAGCCTCTCCTGGCCCATGAGCCACACACAAACAGCCGGTCCAGGCAGCCTTCAGGGAGGGCAACCAGGCTCAGGGCCCACTCAACCCTGCCGCCCGCCTGCCCGCCCACCTGCCTGCCCCAGGACACCCACCATAGAGCCGGTGCAGCCCCCACAGCTCGTCCTGGGACAGCGCCTTCCAGCCTCGCAGTGTGGCATTGAGGTGCATGAGTGCCCGGCCCTGCTGTGAGTGCATCAGGCCCAGCGCGTGGCCGATCTCATGGGCCGCCACGTGCACCAGGTCTGTGAGCCACACGCCTGCGGGCCCCATGGGTTAGCACTCGGACCCCAGCCCTTCCGCTCCTGGCCTTTTCCCAGAGGCCCAGCACATCTGCTGGAGTGGGGCTGAGCCACCCTCGGCCACAGCCATGGGAAGATAAGAATGTTCCCAGCCCGGGCGGTGAGCTCGGCACCCAGGAATGCAACTCCAGCTCGCTCTCCAGCGGCTTCAGCGGGGAGGGAGGAGGGAGCAGACTCAGGGCTGCAAGAACCAAGCCTGGGGGGGCCTCACAGCCTCCCCTCCCTTGCCTGCTTGACCCCAAATAACAGTCTACACACACACCCCACAAAATCAGAAAATTACTCCTGCTCCAAAGCCCTCTCCCTGTAGCCCCCCATGGTACAGAGAAGGAGGCCCTCACTGGAGACCAGGCCATGGGTCACCTTTCTTCCAGCTGTAGCGTGTGGGGCCCAGAACCCAGTACTCGCTGTCATCAAAGTGGATGCCACCATGGGGTGGGAAGAAGGCGTGAGCCAACTCGCCAGTGGGGCCGTCAAAGCAGTGGTGTAGAGTGGACACCAGGCAGTCTGTGTGGTTAACCGGGTAGAAGCCTGGGGGAGCACAAGGCTGAAACAGGGCCTGGGGGGGGGCTGGGCAGGGGCAGGGACAGGTACCCACTTATGGAACCCACCTATCCGAAGGTCACTGGGCTGCTCAGGTGCCACCTCTCGGAAGCTGAAGGGAGACACATCACTCCACATGCGGAAGGCAGCAGCCAGGCCTCTCCGTGTCTCACGGGGGCTCAGGAGGTTTCGGGGAAAGGAGAGGATCCTGGGGTGAGAGTCAAGGTCGAAGGTTGTGTCTGGGCTTGGCAAAGGCCCCCCAACCCCAGAGCCAGGAGGCACCTGTATGTGAGGTTGAAGTGGTCCCAGCGCAGCCTGGTTGGGGTCAGCGTGTAGCGGCGTCTTCGGGGGGCCAGCCAGGTCGGTGGAGTGAGGACCTGGGTGATGTGGACCCCCGACGGGTCGGGCGCAGCCACGTCTGTCTTCGCAGGAGGGAAGTGGGCGTGGCGAGGCAGTAGGGAGAGTTTCCAGGCCCCAAAATTGGTCCAGAAAACCGACTGTCGGGAAGTGTAGAAAGCCATGGGGGGAGGGGGCGGGGGAGGGGGCGGTGACTTCTCGTCTTAGTTTTCTACCCTGAGCCTGGCACTTCTTACGAGCGGGTGGGAGTGGGCGGAGCTGGGGACGGACGCTGACCTCCGGCCACCGCTGGACGCTCGGACCTAAGGGACTCACATCCCGACCCACAGACTGCCCACCCCAGGAGCCACCGACACCGTCAGGTGCGGGGCCGCCCACCCCGCGCACCTGGCCCCGCTGCTCACCTGCGCTGCGCTCCAGGCCGGCGCCGATGGGGTCCCGAGCCGCGCCAGCAGCACGAGCGCGGGGACCAGGCACAGCCCGCCCAGCACGGCCCCGAGCCAGCGGGCCTGGACAGCGCCCGACGCCGCGCAGGGGATGCAGGCCCCGCGGCCCATGGCGGACTCGCTGTCGGGCTCAGGGCCGCACGGGGCAGCGCGGCGCGGGGACCTGGGCCGCGGAGCCGGGGAGGAGCGCGGGGAGGCGGTGGCGGGCGGCTCGGGTTTCAGCCCCGTGGAGGGGCGGCGGTGGGGGGGGAGTGCGGCGCCCTTGAAGAAAACCAGCTGGCCTGGCCTGTCCGGGAGCGGCCCGCTGCCCCAGGGGGGTCTGAGACCAGGCTGTGGTCGTTGGCAGTGGCACCAACAAGGGCCTGCTGGGTGGGGTCGCCAGGAGCAGGGGAGAGGTCAGTGAAGGGACAGCTCGGCTTGGCAAAGGGGTGTCAGCCGGAGGCCCCACAAGCTGGTTGGCGCCGAATGACTTCTTTACCAAATGGAATCCTCCCAATCCCCTGGACCCCAAATGAGGCCTGGGAGCAGAGCCTCCATCCTGGCCCGGGTGGCTGAGCGCGGCCAGCCCCGGACGCGTGCCCGCGGGAGGGGAGGAGACGCAGAATGAAGGGACGTGGCAGTGAGTGTGGGGCGGCTGGAAGGGGCAGAGGGAAGAGGACGCGAGCGGTCGCGAGGGCCCGCGGGGGTGGAGGGTGGGGAACCTGTAGGGTCCCGTGGGGAGCCGGGAAGGGATCGGCGGAGGGCGGGCCTTGGACCCCAGTGAGGAGTGGGCCGTGGGTGGGGGGTGCAGCCCCGGACCGTCTAACCGGGCTCGGAGGAAAGGGGTTCTGCAGTCGGGGACGTGGGGAGGGCAGCCGAGCGTCGGGGTGGGGGGGGTTCTGGGGCGGCCCTGGCTGGGGACGGGGAGCGGTGCCCCGAGGCCGAAAGGCTCGACGGGGCGGCCGGCGCTGTACTGGGCGGGCGGCAGAGCGCAGCGCGGCGATGGCGGGGGCGCCGGGCTGGGAAGCCGGGATCTCGGGGCGGGGCGGACTGCGGGCGAGCGGGCGGGGCCGCGGGAGCTAGGGGCGAGTCCCCCTTTCGGACCAGGCGGCCAGCCTGTGTCCAGCCCCCCACCTCCCCGCTCAGGTGGAGCAGCGGACTGGACAACAGGTTCAGCGCTCAGCAGCTGGCCGAAGGTGGTTTTTGGAAAGCGCCTGCCGCCAGGCTCCCCTCTTGGTGGCCGAGAATTTGCTCCAACAAACCGGATCCCCTACAGCGTGTCCGCCCGTCCCCCTCTGCTCCAGAGACACCCAGGCCGAGCGTCAGGACCCTCAGCGAAAACCCGACCTGCTTGGCCAAAGCCCGAGTCCCCACATCCCGCCGCGGGAGACTGGGGGGGGGGTGGGACCTGGGCCGAGGTCTTCAAAGAGACACGAGGTGTCCCCCAGAGCTTGGTTGGAGGACAGCGAGGTCCTAGGGTCCCTCCCTTGTCAGACCCGAGCCCAGGGTGGCGGGAGGTGGGCGGTGGCCTGGCCAGAGCCAGAAGCTGGGCTTCACGCTGGGGAGGGCGCCGGGGGAAGGGGAGGGCGGAGACGGCCCCAAGACTCGCCCGCCCGTGTCCCGGCTAGGATCCGAGGCCCACCCGGCGCCCCCAGGCAGGCAGCAGGCGGCAAAGTCCGTGAATCTTTTTATAAAACACTCGGGGTGCGAAGGGAGCTTGGGGTCAGGCCGGGCGCGCCGCGCGCTCACACGAAGATCTGGATGCGGTCGCGGATGGGCTGGCGGCAGATGGGGCAGGCGCTGAGCGCAGCGCCGCAAGGCGCGCACGCGCCGTGGCCGCACTGAAACACAAGGCGGATGTGGCTATCGATGCAGATCGGGCAGGTGATGCGCTCCTCCATCTGCCGGTAGCGGCTCTGCAGCTCCTCCACCAGCTGCCGCGGCGGGCCGGGCGCAGGGGCCGCACTGGCCACCTCCGAGCCATCTGTGGGGCACAGGATGGGGTGGGGCTCAGCCAAAGGCTGTCCGGTATGAGCCTTGGGGACGACCGGGAGGGGTGCGCCGAGCCCCCACCCACCTGGGCGCAGCTTCTTGCTGATGACCACCTGGCACATGATGCATTTCTTCATCCTGCGTGCGCACTCTGTAGGGCAGCGTGCGGGTTGGGTGGGGCAGGCGAGGCAGGCCTAGCTGCCCCTGATCCCCCATGCCCCTCACTCACCCTCGCACACGGTGCGGTGCTGGCACGGTGAGAACAGAACCAGCAACGCCAGCTCTGAGCATACCAGGCACTCAGCGGCCTCCGGCCCCACGTTGGCGGTCACGTGCAGATTCGTCACGGTGTTGGGGGTGCTGAGCACGTGCCTGGGGCCCGGGGTCGTGCCCCCACCGCTGCCTGCCTGTCTCTCCCTGCAGTTGGAGGAGGGGGCTTGAAAGGGTCGGGTGGTCGTAGAGCCCCCCAACCCCCCCCCGGGGTGTGGCTCACCTGAAACGTTGGGCACAGCCCTGCAGGGCCTTGAGCACGCGGCCCTGAGCGGCCAGGTCCAGTGGGCTCCGGCCACGGTGGTTGGCATAGCTCACGTCTGCGCCCTCCAGCGCCAGGAAGCAGGCCACTGCTGCGCCCACCGTCAGCTCTGCGCTGCCCGGGAGGCCTGAGGCCTGTAGCTGGGCAGTAGGACAGACGCCAGTGAGGGTGGGAGCCTGCACAGGCTTGAGGGAGGCTTCTGCTGGCACCACGCAGCCTCAGAAGCCTGGGAAAAGCCCCTGTCCTCAGGACAGGAGCCCTTACTAGGCAACTGCAGGAATAAGGTCCTTCCACCCTGTTCTACTCCTGACACCCCCACCCCCTTTCCCAGATTGGTCAGGGACCCAGAATCTCCAGGACAGGGGTTGCAGAGAATGGCTCCTGTAAAGCAGGCCCCCAAGCCGCTCCCCTTCACAGAAAGCCTGGTTCCCTGGACCATCACAGAAGGTGGACTGTGGAAAGTTGCTCAAGCCCACCTCATCAGTGCCCACTCCTTTCCTTCCTCACCCTGGACAGCAGCTGCAAGGGCCCTGGGTCCCCCCCAGCCCTGTCAGCCACCAAGGGGAGCTGCTGATGCCGCTGCAGTGCCACGTGCAGGGCTGTGTCTCCCTCCTCGTCTTCAGTGTTGACACTGCAGCCAGCGTCCACCAACAGTGGCACCAGTCCCACGTGAGCCTGCTGCACAGCCAGGTGCAGAGGGGACTGGAGCTTCCGGTTGCGCACATTCACATCACAGCGACCCTGGGGGCAGTGCACAGGCTCAACCCAGGAACTCTACTGAGCCTGGCTCCCAGCTCCTAGGCAGGCCTGGAATCCTTGCGCCCACCTCTCGGATGAGGATCTGGGCCACCTCACGGTGGTTGTTGAGGGCAGCCAGATGCAGTGCAGTAAACCCATCCTCCTTCTTGGCGTCCACCAGCTGCCGAGCTCGTGCCAGGATCTTCCTGACAGCTCTGTGAGAGCAGGGAGGTCTGTCCGATGTCCAGGGCCATCCCCAGCAGGGTAGGGAGCTGGCTGTCAGCAGTGCGCCCCTCCTCCCCCCACACTCACAGCGCATGGCCTTTGAGGGATGCATGGTGCAGCAACGTGAAGCCCTGGCTGTTGGTGGCAGTGACATCGATCCCTGGCACCTCGGTGAGGACCTCAACGATGCCACTGGCACCGATGCCCGCAGAGATGGCGGAGTGCAGAGGTGTGTCAGCATGGGCATCCTGCCAGCGGGGAGGCCAGTGGTCACGCAGCAGTTACTTCCCCTGGGGTCAGGCTGCATCTCTGACCCCGGCATTAGTTAGGGTCAGGGCAGCTAGGGGCGGTCACTCACGGGAAGGTTGACGTCACAGCCACGCTCACACAGGATCTTTACCACCTCCAGGAAGCCTCTCTGCACAGCCACGTGCAGCGCTGTGCTCCGGCTGCCATTGAGAACATCTGCCCCGCACCCTGCACTCAGGAGCACCCGAGCAGCCTCAGGCTGGTTCCTGGTGGGAGAAGCAGAGGGGTTTGGAAGGGACACTGTGTCCAGCAGCTGGACCCACAGGCTCTGCCCCAGCAGCCCTCTCTGTCCTCACCCGAGAGCTGCGTAATGTACTGCGGTGTTGCCCTCGTCGTCTGGCAGGTCCACACCTGCTCTTGCCTGCAGCAGCAGCCGCACCAGCTCCACCTGGCCCAAGTAGGCAGCCACCTGCAGGGCAGTCCTGCCCTGGTTCTTAGTGTCCACCTGCCCAGAGAGCCAGAAATTGAGTTGTGGGCCCTGCGCCTTCTTGCTGGTGCTGGGAGGGGTGTCGGTGGAGCTTGCCTGTTCGGGATGCCTCCGCAGCAGGTCCAGAGCCCGGGCCACATTGCCCAGTGCAGCCTCCACCACCAGTCTCCCTGGGTGTTCCGGGTCACTCTTCTGGGCCCGTAGCTTGTCCAGGGCCACACTCAGTGAGCCTGGGGGCAGGGCTGAGGTAAGTGCTGGCCAGGGGCCGCCCTGCCTCCCACAGGTCACCGGGGCTGGTGCCGCACTTTTGTTCTCCCTGGCTCGTTCAGCCACATCCAGGTTGGCGTCCTCCTCAGGCCGGTAGGCCAGCAAGCAGGAGGGGCTGAAGGTCCACCGCTGACCGCCAACTGCCACACGAAGGTTCCCATCTCCAAACACTTTCACCACTTTCCCAATGCGGCCCAAGGCCTGAGGGGGAAGAGGTGGGATTACAGCAGGTGGGGGAGGGGCAGGGAACAGCAGGGGGTCGAGGGAAGACACTCACAGGAGCCATGTCGTCCGTCCATTCTCCGTGTCCAGCCTGCAGTCTCTTCACGGTATCAAGGTCGTCGATGACCCGGACCACGTCTCCCACCCAGAAGGAGTTGTGCTGGGTGACAGAGAGGCAGATAAGGGGGTCCCCCCAGCCACTCGTGGCTGTCCAGGGTCGTGGAGGAGGGCACCCCATGGAGCTCCGAGGGGCAGGCAGACCTGAACTTGACCCCAGCTCCAACCCCAAGCACAACCAGAGAGTATGGCTGCACAAGGGCCAAAGGTGATCAAAGCAGCCCCGGGTGGCCCAGCCCCAGAGCCACAGAGATGACAGCCAGAGAGGCAGCCTGATACAGGCATCCAGACCAGACAAAAGCCAGCTCTGGGGACATGGGAAGGCCCAAGCAGCAGGTTCCCAGGGTGCCTGTACATTGACGACACCAACAGCAGCAAGGCGAGCGCAGCGTGGCTAGCTGAGGAACGGAGGATGGGACCAGAGCAAGATGCCACCCCCACTTAGGGGGCAGGCCCAGGATGGAGGGTAGGTACCACACCCCCACATGGGAGCAGGGCCAGCATGGAGGGTGGGGCCAGGGCAGGGTGGCAACCCTCCACATCTGGACAGTTCCAGAAGGGGGTAGGAGGAGCGTTCCTGCAGGCACCTGTACATCCCCCCACCTGTGCTCTCATGTACAGAATCGAACTCACTCTACACACTGCCTGTCCTGCAGCGCCCCCATTCCCCTTCCTGGACTCCAGGTTCAGAAGCGAGAGCTGACTTGCCTGCCCCAGGTGCCACTCCTGGACGCTCTCCTGCCTGCCTTCATCCTTCACCCCCACTTCACTGAACAGCTTTCAGTTCACCTGGCTCTGTCCCCACCACGCTAGGAAGTGTCCACTTCCATCCTCCTTACAGGCCAGTGCTATCTGCCCTTGGGCTGCACCCACAGGGAGTGTCTTAGAAAGCACGCCCAGCAGCCTCAGTTGCTGCCCACTAATGCTGTCTACTTTCCTTTTGCCCTCCAGACAAACAGCCCCTAGTCAGTCCACTCCAGCCTCAGGGATTCTCAGTGCCTCGCCTTCCTCTCAGTCCTTTCACACATGGATCCCTTGTCTCTGGGCCCCACCTCTGCCCACCAGGCTTTATCCTTCAGGTCTGGGGACTCACAGGAAGGCTAGAACCCTAGTCATGCCTGTCCACTCTGTAGGTACACGGATGGGGTTAAAGAAGCAATGGATGGGGCTCAGCCCAGCCCCTTAGGCACCTTGGTGAGAGCCCCAGGATGGAAGGTCCAGCGGGTCTCGTGGTTGAACTGCACACGCACGTCCCCCCGGTCCGTGATGCGGTGCACGGTGCCCGTCTGTCCGATAAACTGCGGCGGGTCACGGAGGCTATGGCTGGGTTGGGCTGGACTCTCGGGGCAGGCAGAGGGCTGGGAGTCCAGAGGACTTGGGAGGGGAGGACACATGGGGGCTCAGTAGGCAAGGCGGCTCACCTCCGCCATCCTTGGGTTCCAGCCGCCGTGGCCTTCCTGCATGTCCCTCAGGACATCTGTGTCCAACAGACACTTGACCTTGTCCCCACGCTGGAAGGGCTGGCTGTCAGCACTCACCCTGCGCTGTAGCTCTGCTGGCTTGCCTGGGGGAGGGCGGCAAGCTAGGCCTCAGGCAGCAACCCCCAGGACATCATAGGCCAGCCCCCGCCTAGCCAGGGCAGGAGGGCAGCTGGTGTTGGTTGGGCCGGCCGCGTACCAAGCCTCGGGAGATGCTCCTTGTAGTAGAACCCGCCAGCTGCCTCTCCTACACATTTGAGGTCCACCTTGCCCTTGTGGCCTACACGGTACACGTTGGTGGTTCCATCTGCCCATGTCACGCTGGCCACGCTCCTGCCTGTCTCCACATCCCAGCCACGGATATCCACCACATGGCCTGGCTTCCCTTCCCCTCCTGGTAAAACAGGGTCCCTGTCAGCAGGCTAAGACTGGGCCTGAGGCTGAGCCATAGCCAATTATAGCCCAGCTTTACCTCCCTGTCCCGCTTCCAGCCACCACTCACCGTCCTGTGAGCCCCACTCCCAGTCGGGGCCTCGCACCACCTTCGCTCCCTGAAAGATGCCCCTTAGTGAGATCCTAGGGAGGCCCTGGCGGGGACTCAGAGTGACACTGCAAGAGAGGGAGTCCTGAGCCACGCAGCGAAGTGGCATGATGTCCAGTCTACCTCCTAGCTCCTGCCCACACTGCAGGAAGCTTCCCAGCAGGTCGGCACCCACCACACCCCAGAAGGAGGCTTCATGGGAGCAAGCCATCCAATGCCAGGCTGGAAGGGAAGCCAAGCAGACCCTCAGAGTATAGCCTGTGTGTGATCAGTCCCTGTCTGCTCCCTCCCAACGAGCAGGGGCAGGGTCTGGCCCAGGAAGGAAAAAGGAACACCACTTGTCTGGCCAGCAGCACATGGACAGCTGCCCCTGCCCCGTACTGGCCAACAGATAGGTAGGACCTAGACCATGTTTCTCTATATTTGGGGAGGGTCAAGAGGACAGATGAGCACAGGAGACAAGAAAGAGATGGTGCCTCTGGGTGCCTGCCCCAGACCAGCTCTATCCCCTCAGCCCAGCAGAGACCCCTCTGACCACAGTGCAGTTCTGTGCCAGGCCAGGTCCACTACCAGCTGTGTAGGGGCTGCCTCCCAGTGTGGGATGCCCTGCCAGAGGTCTTGCTGCCAGGCCTGGCACCTCCAGGAAATGTCTGGCTGCCTAAGCCACATACAGGCCACACTCAGCACCCTGGCCTGCGCTGTTCTGAGGAACCATGCCTGTCTCTAAGGGTAAGGGGGCATCCACGTACCCATCTCACACACCTGCCTAGGGACAGATGCCTTCTCCAGCATGTGGGTCCCTGGAATAACCAGAGCCTGGCTATTCTTCAAGGAAATGGCTCAGGAAGGGCCTGCCTGTCTGTCTGGGAGCCCTGTCCTAAGGTCCTGGGTAGGGAGACTGCAGCCGAGGGGGACTTACGGGCGTGAGTGGGCTGTCTCATAGCGCTCAAAGGCATGGGTGAGGTCGTGCTTGTTGTGCATGTAGCACTGCGTGCAGAGGTCGTAGTCGAAGCAGACGCGGCACTTCCACCGCATGCCCCGCAGCCCGTGCTTCTTACAGCAGTCACAAATGATATTGGGGTGGCGGATGCCTGGAGGTGGGGCAAGGTCAGTGAGGACCTGCAGGTCTCCTGCCGCCTGGCCAGCCCCACCCTCAGCCACACATCACCACGCACCGATCTGTGCATTGTCGTAGAGAAGCAGGTCGTGGGCGCCCTGGTAGCCGGCACGATAGTTGGTGCGCGTGCCTTGGTCCCACTGCACAACAACTGTGCGGTCGGGGGTCGAGGGGCTGCCATGGCGGCCGAGCTCCACCACCGTGCCCACGCCGCCCTCGCCTCCATCCTGCTGGCCCCACTTCCAGTCCACGCCACGCACCACACGCATGCCCACCTGCACACCTGCCTGGGGGTCTGGGTCCATGGTGGCCCAGGCTGTTCAGGGACCTGCCAGCAGAGAGCAACCTCAGGCCACGTCAGGAGACCACATGGCCAGCCTGCCCACAGGACACCTCTCGAGAGGGCTACCTGGGAGAGAAGGGGGGATCGGGGCAGAGAGAACCAACTCAAAAGAACTAGGTAGACAGAGACAGCAGGCATTCCTAAGTGCTTTGGGGCCCAGGAAGGCAAGAAGCATGGCACACTGACCAGCACAGGGCAAGGCCAGCAGGGAAGGTGGAGGGGATACCTGGCCTGGAGGAAGGGGGCCAAGGACGGGCCCACCATGGGAAGTCTGTCCCAAGGGCTCAGAGACCAGCCCTGACAGTTTGGCCACAGGCTAGTGGTTCTGTTTCCGGCAGGCTGGCACACAGTGCACCATCAATATGTATATACTTTATTTATTTATCCTTATTTTTTGCGGTACCGGGGATTGAACCCAGGGCTTTGCATAGGCTGGGCAGGTGCTCTGCTACTTGAGCCATGGTGCCAGCCCCTCATATACTTTAAACCAATGGATTTCTGTTATTATATCAACATGAAAGGTAAGACAACTCTGCTTTCAGGAGAAAACAGATTGCAGCCAAGCAATATGTGGGACTGGACTGAAGGACTCTCGTTCAACAAGACGCTGTCAAGCAACAAGTGAGAGAAGAAATTTGCAGATATGACCCATAAAGACCTCCTACAGATCCACGTGAAGAAACTGGACAGCCAACAGAAAAGTGGACAGAACAAGGAAACAGGCACGCCCAGATGACCAGTTCACATGGTACCTCTGGTCACCAGGACACTGCTCATAGGCAGACGCCATCCTTGGCCCTACATGTCTAGGGACAATGCAGCAAGGTCACACAGAACTTCAGAAGCCTTCCCTGGAGAAGTGTGGTCCCTTCTCAGAAGCACTTGCCCTACGTCCTCCAAGGTGAATGAGCCTTTCAGGGGCAGTTTATTCCCAAATGGAGCATGAACGCACTATAGGGCAGCAGGGCAAAATTCACAAACAGACGTGGAAGGGCAGTGTCCAAGTGCAAAAGAGTGCCCACTACAGTGATTCCATTCACAGGAGGTTTGCTTGCAAAATACCAGCTACAGGCGCTGTCCCAAGCATTAGCTTTAGGTTGCTTATATGGCCTGAGCAGTGAACTGTCCTTTATATAATCTTTTTTTTTTTGGTGGTGGTGGTGGTAATAGGCTTTGATCTCAGGGTTTGTGCTTGCTGGGCAGGCACTCTGCCACTGGGGCCTTGCCTCCAGCCCTCGTGATAGTCACGAATAAAGTCTCGTCAGCATGAACAGATGTGTGTTTGAGACAGGATCTTGCTATGTAGCAAAAGCTGGCCTCACGTCACTGTGCAGCCCAGATTAGCCTTGAACTTTCGATGTTCCTGCCTCTGCAGCAATGCAATCACAGGCACGTGCCACACACCCAGCGCGTAAGTGCACTGGAAAGACAGGACCTGAACAGGGTGCGGCTCACGGACTCTGGGCTCTGGACCATGAGGGAAGTATTTGTCCATCTCACTTAACCAGCAGGCCCCGAAGCTGGGGAAGGAGCCACACGGGGGCACTCTCCAGAGTTGAGGAACCATCAGTCTGGCTCCAGGACTCATGCTCAGTCTTCATAGGAGGCCAGCGTATCACCCTGAGCCCAGCTGGGGCACAGCAAAGACTGGAGGGGATGATGCTAGCCAGGCCAAGCCCGCCAGCTCCAGCTGGTGCCCAGTGACTTGACAGAGGCCGGCCCAGAGCTCAGTGAACAACAAAGGAAGGAACGCACACCACCCCCACTTGGGCCACCTCAGCTGAACACTCAGTCTCCTGGGCCTGTAGGTCAGGAAACTCTTCCCTGTGAAGCATCAGGTGATGGAGGGCCAGCAGCAGGTCTTACCCCACTCCTGCTCTAGCTTAGAGCTGTGTTTACAGCCAGTGACCGAGGTCTTAGCCCCACAGGCTGTCAACAGTCAGGCCCAATGAGGAACCCAGCCCCTCAGCACTGCACCACTCTGAAGCCTACGTCCAACACGGCACCCTGCAGGCTGGACTCTCGGTCTGCACCCTGCGTCATTCTTAGGGGCACAAACCTCTTGGACCTCTTGCTGTCCCCTTATATATAGCTATTGTAGGGACAAACAGGGGACAGGACTCCTGGGCCTAAGAGGTGCCTCAGCTTGGCATGCTAGGACTCTCTTGGGGGACCAGTGGCTTTCTCTCACCCTTCTCTCCAGGCCTCCCTTCCTGGTGTTTGTCACCACTGTCCCTGGACTTGGCACATCATCACAGTTCCACAAGCCATCAGGGCTCATTCCCTTAGTTCAGATCTCTCCAGGAGCGTGTGTGGTGGTGAGCAGGAAACAAATAGGGTCAGAGCAGAAGTGGGGATGAGACCCAGGTAGGCTGGGGAAGAACTCAGCTCTTATTCCCTTCTATTGGGGAAGTCCCCCCTTCTTAGGGTGGCATGGGAATTCTGATCATCAGTGAGAGGCCTGCCTGTCCCCACTTTTTTTTTTTTTTTTTGGTAGGACAGTGATTGGAACCCACGGTTTCCTGCTTGCAAAGCAAGTGCTCTACCTCTTGAATCACACCTCCAGTCCATTTTGCTCTGGTTATTTTTGAGTTGGTTTTCACAAACTATTTGCCTGGGCTGGCCTCTAACCATGATGTTCCTGATCTCAGCCTCCCAAGGAACTAGGATTATAGGCATGAGCCACCAGCCTCTGACTCTGTCCTCACAGAATGGAGCTTGCTAACAAACGGCTCATCCCTTGGGCTTCCCTGGCCAAACTCTCCTCCTCTGGCCATGGGAGAAGTACTTCCAAGCCTAGAGCTGGGTTGGGAGGGAAGATGGTCCCCCAAAGGCATGGCAGTGGATAGGCTACTGTGTCTAGCCTCTGAGCAGGTCCAGAAAGATGCTTTCTGCCTGGATATTACTCTGCACCCAGACTGCCTCCCTGCAGACCTCAGGTCAACAGGAATTCCTGATAAGTGGTAAGAGTAGGGTCCCTGTCCTGGAGTTGGCCTAGCCCAGACCCTCTGGGACAGATGTGGTGCCCCCCCAGGGCTGTTCACCTCCCCTCTGGACCTACCCTGCCCCAGCACATACCAGGCCTTCCTGGGGGACTGGAGGTCACTGAGCTGCCTGCTCCCCACTTCCTACCCTATTCCCACAAGGCTCCAGCACTGAGGAAGGTACCTATGAGCTCTGAGTACCCATCGAGTTGGCTCCCCACAGTCATCCATGGCCAGTTAACTCTAGTTAGAGGCTGCTATGGAAAGTACAGATGCCCAAACTTGGCCTGGGCCCTCACATTGACCTGCCCAAGCCTCCCAGAGACAGCCTATAGCCATGAAAAGGCTTTGAACTGGTGTGCATGGAGGGACTGCAGGAAACACTGCCCAGCACAGTCTAAGACCTATACCCATTACAGCCCAGGTATACAGGCTGCCTTACTTTCAAATCCACAGGAACAGCAGCCAAACCATCTCCTGCTATGCCCACATGTCACACTTTAGGATGCTGAACTCTGCAATGTGCTATGCACATTGGGAAATTCACTCACAGTTAGCTAACTTGATTCCTTTGCCAGAAATGCTGGACTCTGCCATCTACCCTAGAGTTTAAGAGGCATGCCCCTGGCCCACACCCGAACCCCCTTGGAGGCTGTTGCTATAGCCACCTACAGCAGTGGGGAAGCCAGGACTCGGTGGGCAAATGTGCGTCAGCAAAATCAGAACTCACCTCAAAGCACACAGCAGCCTCGAATCAGCATCCCAGGCACTCAGTTGCTACTTCCTGGGTTACAAATTCCACCAAGATATCCTGTGGGAAACTAGCAGCCATCGCCAACACAGAACACAGCAAACCAAGCAGGCAGCCAACAAACAAATCTAGAGAAAAATGGTTTCAGAGACAGTTTTACACTTAGCATTTACCACTGCGACCACACAGTGGCCACTGGGGCTGCCGCTGCCCCACCAGTGTTTCTTTTTTTTTGGCAGTACTGAGGTTTGAACCCAGGGCCTACACCTTGAGCCACACTACCAGCCCTTTTTTGTGATGGGTTTTTCTCGGGATGAGGTCTCACAAACTATTTGCTGACTTCAAACCTCAGTCCTCCTAATCTCTGTCTCCTGAGTAGCTAGAATTACAGGCGTGAGCTACTAGCGCCTGGCTCCACTAGTGTTTCTTTCCAGGAGAAATGGTCAACTCTTAGGACAGAGAAGTAACAGGCCAGTGCAGGTGGACACTGTCCCTTATTTGTGGACATGTTATGGGGAAGTTTTATAAAGGTGTAGAAATTAAGCCATGGTTAGTGAGGAAACAGATTGGCTTCACTCAGAAGATTTAAGTTACATGACAAAGAGCCCTACTCCCCGCACCTCCAGCTGGGCCTACTGACACTGGTATAATCAACTAGCAAGAACTGGTGCATCCCAGTCTCCTGTCATGTGGTAGGTCTGGCCAAGATCAGGAGGACATCCCAGGTGCCACTGGAGCCAGGGTGATTAGGGAGTGGGGAGAAACCCTCAGACAGACAGGCAGGAAACCCAACCTGTCCCCCTCAAGACACCTGCTGGGGAAAAAGCCATCATGTATCACAGGGTTGTCATCACCACTAGTCACAGCCACCTGCTAGAGACCCTCAGGCACCCTGCAGCTTGGGGTTCACCCCACCCACTGCCCAGGGCTGACCTTGGGTGGGAAAGTGACATTCAGGTACTTGTTGCATCTCCAGCAACAGGCCAGAGTGCACTGTGAAGCCGGGGACCTTCCAGGAAGGACCATGCTTGGTAGTGCTCCTGCACTACAGCTGCTCTGTCCCCAAGCCCGTTGGTACCCATTAGGAGCCTGCCTGGCACCTCTGCTTTTCTCAATTGGTTATGAGTCGCGAAGAAGGTGGCAAATTGATTTCTCACTTCCCCGCCCACACACATGCACATCCAGACACAAACACAACCCCTGTGACATGACACCAGACCACATCCACAAGGTGAACCCATCAAACCCAAACTATCAGGCCACAGCCCGTCAAGAGCTCACCTGTCTGGCGGTCCACTGACACCCTACCACCTTGAGACTCAGGCTGCAGTCCTGATGCCTGGAGACTCAGACCTGGCCTCCGCCGTGCTGAGCTTCCGCGGGAGCCCCACGCGATCCAACCCTGTGGCTAGGGGTGCCGAGACGCACAGTTAGCACCCACCAGGGACCGCGGCCCCCGGCGCTACCACCCGCCCTGAAGAGCTCCCTGGGGTCTGGCGGCCGGGACCCGCTGCATCACCCCCGCGCTGCGTCCCGGCCGAGGCTGTGGATGCACACCAGACACCAGCTGCGCCCAGGGGCGAGGGCGCGAGGAATGCAAGGACCAGGGCCGTCCGCCCAAGCCCCCGCCCAGCTAGTCGGGCCCTTCCTTGACCCTGCCCTCTGCTCGGGGAGGCCGCCCGGGCCCCCGACCCCCACTTGCCCGGAGTTTCTGAGCGCCGGCTCGGCCCGGGGACTCGGGGAGCCCGAGCAGGGCCGAAGCAGACAGCAGGGGATCGACCGGCCGCCCCGGCGCGTGCAGCCGCCCTCGGCCTCTTGGCTGCGCCAGGCCAGGGCGCCCCGCCTGCACAAGCCCACCGGCTGCCCGCCCGCCGCGACCCCCTCTCGGATCCCGGGGCGCCGCAAAGCCTGCCGGGAGCTGTAGTTCGCAGCTCCCGGCCAGGGGGCGGAGCTGGAGGCTCCCAGGAGACCCCGCGTGACGTACGCGGCGCAGAGCGCGGGCGGCGGGTGCTCTGCGTGTCCGCGGAGCGGCCTGGAGACGCGCGTTCTGACAAACGGGGACAGGACGGGAACCCGAGGGGCACGCTCCGCACCGCAACCCGGGCGAGCGTCCACCCGGCACTAAGGACCCGGGCCTCTCGGACGCCGCCTCGCCCCCGGAGTGCGTGCAATTGCGTCAGAGGAGGGGCCCTACGTGACGCAGCCCCTTGTGCCTGCGCAGTGCGGGTTCCGGGGACGCATTCTGTTGCCGTGGAGACGGTCGGGGGTGACGTCTTGCCCTGAATAGGCAGGACTTCCAGGGATGGAGCTAGGAGGGTTTTTTGCTTGTTTTGTTTTGTTTTGTTTTGTTTTGCGATACTGGGGGTTTGAAGTCAGGCCACTCCACCGGCCCTTTTTTTATGATAGCTTTTTAAAACATAGGGTCTCGAGAACTATGTGCCTGGGCTGGCTTTGAACCGCGATCGTTCTTGTCTCTGCCTCCTGAGTAGCTGGGATTACAGAGCGTGAGCCACCGGCGCCCAGGTTAGAGCGCCTGCTTTGCAAGACAAAGGCCCTGAGTTCAAACCCCAGTACTGAAACAAACAAAAAGCCTCTTGGAAAATCTGCTTGATGAATGCCCTGGACTAAATAAAGATGCCGACCCACTGGCATATCTCCTCTATCTCACCCCCCAATACCCTGTATCCCCATGTGTGGCCTCCAGGCATGCTGTAAGTCTTAAAGACCTTTATTTCCATCTTCTGTCTGTCTTAGGCTATTTTGTGTGTATGTGTGGGGGGGGAGGGGGACTGGGGTTTGAACTCAGGGCTTTCCACTTGCAAAGCAGACGCTCCACTACTTGAGCCACATCTCCTGTCCATTTTCCACTGGTTATTTGGAGATGGGAGTCTCACAACCTATTTGCCCACACTGGCTTAGAACCACAATCCTCTCGATCTCACCTCCCAAGTAGTTAGGATTACAGGCATGGGCCACCAGCACCTGGCCTTGTATTTGTCCTAATCATGGAAGGGTGCTCTACATCTTAAAATTCTAAATTACAACAACTAATGAACAGATTGGGTAGAGCGCCTGCTTTACAAGTGCAAAGCCCTGAGTTCAAAATCAGTCCCACAAAAAAAAATAAGCTCAGCAAAATTACAGGACACAAGATCGACACGTGAAAATCTGTTATTTTTATACACTAGTAATGAACAGTCTAAAAAATAAACAAGAAAACTGTTGCATTTGCCATAGCATCCAAAAGAGTAAAATAGGGCTAAGGAATGACTCAAAGTGGTAAAGCAGCAAGTGAAAAACCCTGAGTACCGCCAAAAACAAAACCAGAAAAACAGAAGTCTTTGCTCCCATTTCCAGCATGGGGAATGGAAAGTTTCTCTTTCTTTTCATTCCCCCTCCCACTTATACTTTATCCTATTGTACTAAAATAAATCCTTGCTAAAACTTAAAAAAAAAAAAAAAAAGAAAACACCTAAGAACAATTTTGCCACAGTGGTCAATGATTTGTACACTGAAAACTCCAAGACATTGCTGAAAGAGAGTGAAGACCCAACAACCGCAAAGACATCCCTCTGTACTCTCAGATTGGGAGCCCTAGTGTTGTTGAAGTGTGTTCTGTCTGGTCAAATTGCCAGAGGGAGTCACCCCAAAAGCAGCAGCAGGGAAGTTCCCCTGAAGGGCTCTCCTAAACCACCTGGTGAAGGAAAGGAGCTCCAAGTGCCAGTGTGGTCAACCCAAAGCATTTATTAAGGGAATTACGTACAAGGCTGCATCAGGTTCCCCTCGGGAGACAGGGAGAAAGGACATGTTCTACCTTGGTATGTCTGCAAGGGACAGTGGGTTATGGAGTTTTCATGAGGGCTTAAGGGACTTGGTCCAGAACTGGGGCTAATTCTACACGTTTTACCAACAGTCTTTGTGTTTCTGTTTTACTTTCATAGTACTGGGATTTGAACTCAGGGCCTTACATTTGCTAGACAGGCATTCTTACCACTTAATCCACTCCACCAGCCCTTTTTTGTGGTAGATATTTTCAGGACAGTATCTCAAGGACTATTTGTCCAGGGCTGGCTTCTAACCATGATCCTCTTGATCTCTGCCTACTGAGGAGCTAGGTGTGAACCACCTGTGCCTGGCTCAGTCTGTCAGTGTTTTTAAGCAACAACCTAAGCATTTTTTTTCTCTGGTACTGGGGTTTCGAACTCAGGGCTTCAGGCTTGCTAGGCAGACCCCCTCACAACCCAACCCAAGCATCTTGTGTAAGGCCCCAGTTCCAGCCTTCAGGGAAAACATGCAGTTACCCAGGTCAGAGTGATCAGGACCCTGAAAGAAAGTGGGAGGACGGTTGGACCCTACAAGGTAGCAGTAATACCCAAAGCAATCTATAGACACAAGGTAATCCCCATCAAAATTCCAATGGCCTTTTTTTGTGCAGAAATGAAAAAGATGATCCTAAAATTCATGTACCATTGCAAGGGGCTCTGAATAGCCAAAACAACACTGAAAAGGAAAGTTGGAGGACACACTTCCTGATCTCAAGACGTGCCCTGGCATAGGACAGATATGCATACCAATGGAATAGGATTGAGGGTCCAGAAATAAACACATTTAGCCCCAATTGACTTGCAGCAAGAGTGCAGAGACCATTCAATGTGGGACAACTTTGATATTCACAGGCAAAAGAATGATGTTTGACCCCCTACCTCACACCACATACAAAACTGAACTCCAACTAGTTCAAATACCTAAATTTAAGAGCTAACACTGCCAGGTGCCGGTGGCTCACGCCTGTAATCGTAGCTACTTGGGAGGCTGAGATTAGGAGGATCACAGTTCAAAGCCAGCCAGGGCAAATAGTTTGTGAGACACTATCTGGAAAAAACCCTTCACAAAAAAAGGGCTGGTGGAATGGCTCAAGGTATAGGCCCTGAGATCAAGCCCCCAGTACTGCAAAAAAAAAAAAAACCAACAATGGCTCACATCTGAAATCCTAGCTGCTTGGGAGGCTGGGATCAAAAGGACTGCAGTTGGAGGCCAGCCCAGGCAAGTAGTTTGAGGGACCCTGTCTCCAAAAATAACCAGAGCAAAATGGGCTGAAGGTGTGGCTCAAGCAGTAGAGCATGTGCTTTCCAAGCGTGAAGCCCTGAGTTCAAACTCCAGTTCCACCTAAAAATAAATCTACAACAGCAAAATGATCTTCCTGATCTCTGCCTCCTGAGTAGCTAGGATTACAGACGTGAGCCACTGGTGCCTGCCCAGCAAAATAATTTGAATTATATTGGCTAACACAAAGACCAAGGTCATCTGGAGGCGAGCCGGAGTTAAACCCTTGCCCACTTCAGCTAGGATAAAAGAGCCACAGGTATGTCTGGCTCTTGGTGGGCATGCTACTTGCTTGCTCTGATAAAATCTCTGCCCCTTCCTACTTTGTGAATTGCTTCAAAATTCTTTTTCAAAGTCCTCTTTGGGAAGGGGGACAAAGCATGGAGTTCAGGGTGTGAAATTGATTTGCAAATCTGAAGCAGACTTTATGATCCCCTGCTATGGATTTCCCACGGACAACATGAGTCTCCAAAGAAGGGAATGGTGCTCTTAGGCTAGCACAGGACAGAGAGACGAGGGGGGTCTCACCGTGGATGGGAGAGCCCACAAAGGTTTTGGCAGGATTTCAGTAGCTATGTGTGTACAGGTGAGCTTAATTTGCTTCACTCTGTCATCAGTATAGTTCAGATTTTAAAAACAAAGTAAAAGGAAACTAAAAGTAGGTGGAATGATGTAAATAAATATAATTTACTTTGAGTTAATTAAGTCCTAAAGTAACCTCATCTCTTAAAAAGTTGCTACAACCCAAGGTGAACAATTATTAGAGATTGTTCTAAATTAAAGAAAAGAAACACTCCCTAGAGACTTTTTAGGGGAGGTGTGGCCACTGGGGTTTGAACTCAGGGCCTTTTGCAAGGCAGGCACTCTACTGCTTAAGCCTCCAGCCATAGAGATTAATTCTGAAAGATCTCTGTTTTATTGCCCAAAGAGGCTACTTGTTATAAACTAAAATCCTGCTCCTTTTTCCCATTATAATCCTAGCTGTTTGTCTCAATGTGCCCTGTTGCTGGACTCCTAGAAACAGGCCTGAGGATTAGCCCTTCTTGGAGACAGGGATGGCCCCTCTCCAGACTGTATCCAAGTCACTGAATTCACTGTAAAAGGATGGAGATGTCCCCCTGGCCATGGGGTGCTAATGGCCATGCAGTGGTCATGGGCTGCTAATTACAGAGGGGCCTGATAAGAAATCAGAGCAGCTAAGCTCTTCTTGTTTCTTCCTTTCCGTCATACTTTCTTTTCCTGCAGGTACAGTGAGACTTAACAAGATGGGTAAAATCATTAGCAGTCCTGATGATTCTCCCTTAGGATGTATGTTTTAAAAACTGGAGTTTAAAAAAAGAGGGATCAATCACGCCTATAACACCAGCTACTCAGGAGGCAGAGACAGGAGGATTGAAGTTTGAGGCCAATTCAGGGAAACATTCGTGAGACCCCCCATCTCAAATACAAGCCAGGCATGATACACACCGTCTGCAAGCCCAGCTACTCAGGAGGCAGAAGTAGAAGGATCTGAGTATGAGACTAGCCTGCACAAAAGTGTGAAACCCTATCTGAAAACCAGACTAGAAGCAAAAGGACTGGGGATGTTGGTCAAGTGGCAGAGAGCTTGCTTAGCAAGCTCAAGGCCCAGAGTTCTAATCCCCAGGACCACAAAAAAAATAAATAAAATAAAAAGGGATTAAAATTTTTAGCTGGGTACCAGTAGCTCACACCTGTAATCCTAGCTACTCAGCAGGCAGCAATCAAGAGGATCAGGGTTCGAAGCCGACCCGGGCAAATAGTTGGCAAGACCCCATCCCAACCAATAAAGCTGGGCATGGTGGCATGCACCTGACACCCTGGCTACTTGGAAAGTACTACAGTGAGAGAAAGCAGAGCAGCCATGGGAGAGATGGCCGGAAGGGGTCAGGAGCTCTGTGAGGGGCAAAGTTCATAGTGACTGAGACGCACACATTTGCCAAAATATATCCAATTATGTCTTCAAAATGGATGTATTTTATCCTAACTAA